GCAGACGGCGACCGGCATGGGGCGGCGTCCGAGGCGGCGGCACGCGGGGGCAGGGGGAGGCGGGCGCGGGGGCGACGCCGGTGGCGGTGCTGGACCACGGCAGCGGGGCACCTGCTCGCGGCGGGCGTTGCGGCGGCGGCGTGCCGGCGCGCCGTGGAGGGCGGCGCGTGGCGGGTGGACGTGTCGCTCGCGGGGACGATGAAGTATCTGCGCAGCCTGGGGCAGTACGCGGGGCGGCGGGGGTTTGACGATGGCGCGGCGCTGCCGACGGACGTGGGGGGCGTGCCGACGGAGTTTGTGGACGTGCGGCGGAGCGCGGACGGGGAGGTGCGGGCGGTGAAGCACAGCGCGCAGATGGAGGGCGTCGAGGTCGGGTACGACGAGGGGGTGGGGGATGTCGGTGGTGAGCCGCGGTGGAAGGACGAGTGAATTCGAGGGCGGCGAACGGGAAAAACACGGTAGCACGGTAGCACCCCAAGTTAACATGACAACACAGCCACAGGAACAGCAGGTGAGATTCACAGGGAGCAAGTCACGAGCACGAGTTCCAACAGCGGCCAAAAGCTGAAAATACAACCAAAGCCTTTCTAACCAACGCATTGGTCGCGGCATGTTGATTCAATATTACACTAAGGCTGGACTGATATGTCCCCATAAACGCCGGACAAGCTACAGCTTGCTTTGCTTAACCAAAAAAAAAAAGCAGAATGACTTTTTGTATGCATCCATTCAACATCTCCTGAACCTTACTGGTGTAGGCCGCACGTCCGTTGCTTCATCAACTTGCGGCGAGCCTTGTCCTTGTCTGAGATATGTTAGCGTCTGAGATGTTCTTGAAAGGGTGGGTAGAAGAGAGTGCATACCTCCATCGAACACGAGGAACTCGTGCAGGGCCGAACCAGCGGGGACCATGGGCAGGACAGGGACCTTCTTATCGGTTATGACCTCGAGGAGGGCTGGGCCGTCCGACTCAATGAGCCACTTCAAGCTGGCGACAACGTCGGCCGGGTCCGAGACGCGGCGGCACTGGACGTGCATGGCCTCGGCGAGCTTGATAAAGTCCGGGTTCGACTGGTGGGTGTGGGCGTAGCGGTCCTCGTAGAAGAGGTTCTGCCACTGCGTGACCATGCCCTGCTCCTCGTTGTTGAGGACAATGACCTTGACGCCAATGTTGAACTGCGCGGCGGTGGAGAGCTCCGTCAGGGTCATGTTGAACGAGGCGTCGCCGTCAATGTCGATGACGAGGGCGTCAGGCTGGGCCACCTTGGCGCCAATGGCGGCCGGCAGACCGTAGCCCATGGTGCCGAGACCGCCCGAGGTGATCATGGAGCGCGGGTGGCGCCAGCGAAAGTGCTGCGCGGTCCACATCTGGTGCTGGCCGACGCCGGTCGAAATGTACGTCTCGGTCTTGCGGTCGGCCGTCAGGTTGCTGAGCTCCTCGATGACTGTCTGCGGCTTGATGAGGCCGCCGCGCTCGGTGCGCTCATAGTCGGACAGCGGCCACTTGGCCTTCCACTCGTTGATCTGGCCGAACCAGGCGGCGCGCTCGGCCATGGACTTGGGCGTGATCGAGTCGAGCATGTATCGCAGGTTGACGCCAACGTCGCCCTCGATGGCCTCGGTGGCCTGGACGACCTTGTTGATGTTCTTGGGCATGATTTCAAAGTGGACGATACCGCCGCGCTTCTCGACGGCGGCAGCCTTGGCGCCGGGCGCAAACTTGCTAATGTTGCCGGTGACGCGGTCGTCGAAGCGCGCGCCGAGAGCGATGATAAGGTCAGCCTCCTGCATGGCCATGTTGGCGTAGGCGGAGCCGTGCATGCCGAGCATGTGGAGCGACTTCTCGTCGAGCTCGTCAAAGGCGCCGAGGCCCTGGAGGGTCGTGGTGACGGGGATGGAAGCCTTGTCGGCGAGCTGCTTGAGGATCTCGGGGCCGCCGGGGGACTGGATGATGCCCTGGCCGGCGTAGATGACGGGCTTCTTGGCCTTGTTGATGAGGTCGGCGACGCGGTGGATCGAGGCCTGCAGGAGACGGTCGCCAAGCTCGAGGGCGGCGAGGGAGGCGGCCGAGGGTAGGGACGGCAGGGAGGCGCCGGTGGGGATGGCGCGGCGCAGGATGCCGGCGGTGACGTCCTTGGGTAGGTCGACGAGGACGGGGCCGGGGCGGCCGCTGGTGGCAATCTCAAAAGCTTCGTTGATACGGCGCGGCAGCTCAGCAACGCTCTTGACCATGACGTTCCACTTAGTGCAGGCGCGGGAGATGCCAATCACGTCGGCCTCTTGGAAGGCGTCGCTGCCAATGGCCGTGGTCGGGACCTGGCCGCAGAAGACGACCATTGGGGTGCCGTCGGACAGGGCGTCCTGCATCGGGGTGATGACATTGGTGGCGCCGGGGCCCGAGGTGACGAGGACGACGCCCGGCTTGCCGGACGCGCGAGCGTAGCCCTCGGCCATGTGACCGGCGCCCTGCTCGTGACGGGGGAGGATAAAGTCAAAGTGCTTCGAGTTGTAGATGGCGTCAAAGACGGGGAGGATAGCGCCGCCGGGATAGCCAAAGATGTGCTTGACGCCCTGGCGCAGCATCATTTCGTGAAAGATTTCGCCGCCCGACTTGCCGATGAAGGACTCATCCATGTCCGTTTTCCGGGGGTTGACGAGGGGTTGCACATGGCCCTTGGTTTCGGCGTTGAAGGCGGGGCTCGGGACGGCGCGGACGGTGCTGTGATTGTCAGCATGATGCAGGGAACCGGAGGATTGGGGCCCTGCGACTGTGTTGCGCGTGTTTCCTGGTATCGCGACGCTCGACACCGCCGTCGTGGTGGTGCTTCACCGATGTGGGTGTGGAGACGCAAGGTACGGTCTGTCGGCGACAGCAACCACGACAACGAGCGCCAACAAGCAGCAAAGACAAGGCAAGGGACAAAAAATGCAAACATACCTAGCGGGTGAGGAGGCAGTGGCGGCCGTTGCTTTATTTCTTTGCGAGGCCGGTAGCTTTTTTTGGGCGCGCGAGGTAACGGGAGCGGTTGTGGAGGTGAAGGAGCGCGTTTGGCCCAAAGCCCTGAAGGCCTTGGTGGCCTGGCGACTTCGGAGCATGATGGAGGAGTTGTGCTTCCCAATGGGCGATGCGAGGATGGCAATGGGGAGGCAATGCTCTAGAATTGTCACAATCGAGGGTATCTCGGCAATGGGATTCGCGGGGTAAAAAAGCGTTGTGTGAAGAGAGAGGAGGGAAGAGGAAGAAAGGGAAAAAAAAAGGTTTGAAAAAACGGGTGGTGGCGAGGGTAGCTAGCTGGTGCTAAAAAAACCCAGTCAAACAAGTCACACATGTTCCGATGCTCGCGATTTGGGGTTCCAGTGGGCTTTGGCGCTAATTGCCGATTTTATAGTGGACAAGTCGCCTGCTCCGAGTCAGACTTACACCAAGAGTCATTATTATGGGCGCGACCGGAGGCGATCTGGAATGACCAGTCCAGAGCAGAGCCAATCTCAAGTCTAGCTGGCGCTCGTGTTGGCTTGTCCGAGGCGTGTCTAGAGTCTAGAGGCAACATCCCAACCATGACCAATCGACTCGACTAAACAACAGACAACTGGAAAAGGCCTCTTTACTTGCACTTGTGTCCCCCTCACGACTCTTTCCCTTCACATGCCTTGCCACGTCGGTGCTAACTAGCCATCGCCGCCCAGCAACAACCTGCAAGCCACCACACTATCATTAGCCACAACCACGACAACTTCCAAACTATGTATCAATCCTCAATCCCCGCCATACGAATATACTCCAACTCCATCATAATACGCTCCGTCGTATTCTCAGATCATCTCTCAATTGCCGGCGCCTGATGCCAGTCCCGTATGGGCCAGTTTATACTACACCATCCACTATAACCAGGGGCGGTGGCACCACCAGTTCACGCCGTGAAGCCCTGTACTACGACGTATTGTTTGTACAACTCAGTCTCAGTCATGACTATTCCCGTAGACGAAAATTCCTCATGGTCTTGTTTCTCTTTAATTCCGCTCTCGTTTCTCTCCTTTCCCTCTCGCTTTTACTCGAACCAACTCATTTGTCTAATTTCCTTCCCCGCAACTTTCCCCCGCTATCGGACTTCCTCGGCTCCAGCCCCCGTCGTGGGGCGGCCCTGCGTCCGACACCGGCTGCCGGCACACGACCAGCACGTAATGTAGTTACGGCACGAGTTCAACACCACTCGTTATGCCCATGAATACAATAATGAACATGCACCACTCGTATCCATACCTGTACCACACGTTTACTCACATGTCACCTGAATTCATGCCTATATTCAACATCCTACACCCGTCACCAGATTGACATAGTTGATTGGCGTGAGCATCTGTGTAGTGCCACTGTATACAATATATCCCACATCTCTACATCTACAACTCACCCATCACCAATACATCAATGATCGACGACCAGTTATCGGTTAACCACTTCATCAATGCTGTCTATTCGTCATATCTATTTCCAGCCGAGTGCAACACCGTTTTGCTAGCATATATACAGCAACTCTCTGCCAAATCCCGAAACAATCAAGCCTCTTACGCAATGCCGCTCGTAAATCCCAGAACAAATCAAAAACTATAAATGGTATCTCGAAAGATGTCAAAGAATATCCAAAAACACACAAAGAAGAATGAAATGGTATAAAAAAAACAATGCGTCGATCGCAAACAACAGCAACAAACAAACAGAAGAGAGCCGCCCAATTTCTCTTGATAATATTAGATGTACATTAGCGACCCACCTATTGGGCGTATAGATGGAAACCTCTTGACAAACAGACGCGCAATGAGGAAAAGGAATAAAAAGATACCCAAAAGGAAAAAAGAAAAGAATGAGTGTCGTTCCAGTGAGGTGGTATAAGGGAGCATGACAAGTCCCAACATGCCAGGTGTAAAAATAGTATGTAAAAATGGTATCCGAAGGCAGACATGTGCGTGCGGCGTCAAGAAAAAGACGAATGTGGTAATGAAGGAATGAGAGGTCAGAAAGGAGTGGCGAAATGAACACCAACCATCTGAGTGCTGCAGACGGCAATTTCGGATCTGCCTACATGCCGCCCATCGACGTCGGCATCATCCCGCCCATGTCCTGCGCCGACATCTTCTTGCTTGGCCGCAGGCTCTCCATGCTCATGACGCGACTCCACGAGCCGGGCCGCTTGTGTGGCGTGGGCGTACCCGGCCGCACCACCGTCGACGTCGGGCTTGCGTTGACGGCGTACCCGCCATATATGCTGCCGTTGCTGCCAAGCTGCGGATGCTGGTTGTGGTGCTGCTGCGCCTGCGCCTGTGCGTGGTAGTGCATTTGCATCTCGTCCATCTGGTGGTGGTGGTGATGGTGCATCCCGTCCATGGGCTGCGCCATGGGTGTATCCATGGTCGTCCACGTCGCGTATGCCTGGTCCTGACCTTGCAGTGGGTAAATCATCGGGCTCTCCATCGGCTGCTCTAGAGGCTTGTGCATCGCCGGCTGCTGCTCTGGTGCAAACTTGGGCGCGTCGTGCCACACGGTCTCGCTGGGGATCTGGTATGGCGTGCCAGGGTGCGGTCCGGCCGCACCACTATCCTCGGCCATAACTGTGTCCGGCGCCATCTCCGTCACGGGTGTCGGCGTCGGCGGTCGAGACGCCCTCTTCGAGTTGCGGCCAGACAGTCGGAACACGGTCTGCGTGCTGGATCGGTACTTGGAAAAGCTAAACGTTGACGAGCTGTCCTCTTCGCCCTTTATACCCGGCGGAGAGGCACATTGTGTAGGGGCGTCGTCGGGGCACAGATGTCGGTAGGGGAGTTGAAAGTACGAATCGAGTTCGCCGGGAGGAGCTGCGCCGGGAGCAGAAAAGGGCGCGTTGCCCAGGATGAATGCGAGGCGAACAATCTGAGAAATGTCGGATCCGAGATGACGGGCTTCCAGCATCCGCCTGAGGTCTCCCGATGATCGTGCGCGCCATTGCAGCTGCTGACGCTTCTCCTTCGGCCAGATGCACGTCTTCCATACCGGCTTGACTTGTTGCTGCCGCAACAGGTTCTGGATCTGCACCTTGTACTCCCAGTCGCTCACGTCAAAGTCGTCTTCAAAGTGCTTGGCAATGTGTTCGAAGTGCTTATCGCGGGTGGCGGAGGCGTCCTCGGCCGAGGCAGCTTCAAAGACTCGATCGCGACATGTTTCAAACCCACAAGAAAACACAACCTGCGGGCACAGATCGGTTCGAGCGGTACTATTGGGCAGGGCCTTCATGCGATGCGCCTCCTTGGCGTGGGTGCTGTAGGCGCGTTCCGTGGAAAATGACTGGTAGCAGCCCTTGGTGTGACAGATCCAGACGATATCGGAACCGTGAAAGTTGTGTAGATGCTTCTTAAAGTCGCTCTTGCGACCAAAGCCAACAGGGCTGCTGTCAAGGTAGCACATGGGGCACTGGTACTTTTTGCCAGTCGGGGCAATCAGTCGGGGAGACGGGTGAGAAGCTCCCTCGGCAATCATGGGCGACGGAACGGGGGCAGGTGAGTCAAGCCATGAGCGTTCAGCGAGTTTGCCGGTTTCCGCGTCGTGCATAGGAGGCATGTCGGCGACGACTTCGGGCCATGTGTGCTGTGTGGATATGGAAGCGCCGTCAGATCTACATTGAGACGCATCTGAGCTTGTCCAAGCCAGAGAAGGTGCACTCAGGCTGGCGCCGCCACTGCTCAATAATGTGTTGGCGGAGAAGATGGAGGCGCGAGCTGGCAGGTTAGCTTCAGTATTAAAAGGAGCAGAGGATTACATACAAGACTCTCCGTAGCCGGTCAAGGCATACACGATACTGGAGTGGCCGTACTTTTGTACAAGCGAGGTCAAAAGCTGGTGATCTTCATCAGTCAGAGGTTGAGGGCCGCTCTCCTCGTGACCGTTGAAGGGAAACATGGTGAGACAGTGAGGCCAAGGTCGTCGAAAAGTCGGCGCGGTTGTGAGGTGAATGAGGTTACTCGGTGGTGTGGCGCGGCTAGATGCCCCGACAGAGTCGTCGCAGTCAAACTGCTCAATGAATTGGGATATCGGGAAGACCGAGGCGAAAATTGTGACGCCGCCCACGTAGCAGCAAAGACTGATGCGGGAGAATCACACCGTCGACTCAAGCCGAAGAAGTCGGCGACGGGTGATTCAAAAGGACGTACTAGCAGTTGAAGATGGTGTTGACGGGCCGCACGGTGAAATCGGGAATCTAGATGGAAATCGGTTGGACTAAAGGCGCTGCCTTGAGCTGGAAGGGGTTGATGAATGTTGAAAGAGCGACGTTAAGGACGTAGCCGTCGGCGTGTAGTACACAAGCCAGGGGGGGGGGGGGGAGCGGACGGGTAGTAATAAGAGGGCCGCGGCGTAGGGGGTGATATCAGAGCAGAAACCGGGGCGAAGCGAAGGAAGGCCTTCTAGAATACCGAAAAGAAGGGATCAGAGAAGTCGAAACCCGCTACAGAAGGACGAGCAGGAATAAGGGCATGCATGCCAGCGGTACAGGCAAGGCAGGACAAGCTCAGGCAAGGTTGTTTCGTCGTAAAAGAGGTGGGCATCAGCGCCCCTCTCGGCTGGGGCTGGGCAGTTGGTGGTGTCGAGATGGTGTCGAATTGGCGTCACTCCATCCCGGCCATGATCCATGATCCCCTCCCCTCCCCTCCCCTGCCCTCGCAGGCAGGAACCAAGTCATTTCTCACCGCAGACCAAGGCCATCCTGAAACATAGCGTCGGCAGGCCACCCATGCTGATGGGCCCGCTGACGGAGTCTGTGCGTGTGAGTGGGTGTGCGGCGACAGGGACGAAATGGCCATGAAGGGCCCTGTTTTTAGTTTGGATTGTCTCGAGCCAACCAGAACCCCGAGGCAAGAACTGACTAGGTTGCCAGGGTCATCAGTTCAATGGTGTCGTCTTTTTGCGTGTTGGCAAATTGCGTACGCCGCATCCTGGCCAGTGGGCAGTGGGCTCGACTCTCGAGTCTCGACACTTTTGTGCTGCTATTCGTCGTTTGCACGCCGCGTAATAGTACAACACCTTTTTGTCATACCGCATATCCTAGTCATCGTCCAACAGGCCCCGCTAGCATGTTGATAGCTTGAACGACCTGAACGAGGACTCCCTTCGCATCGGTTTGAAGTTCTCAACTCAGCAGTTGGCAACACTTAACGCCGGCCAGCCTTGTCCCGGGCCCAGATCGGCCCGTTTGTTGTGCGGGTTTGCACAGACGCAGAAATGGTAACTAGTTACGCCGTTTCGCCGTGGCAGCAACCGTAGAATGAAACACAACGTCTGGCTATATGTCAAATTGATTCTGGTGCCATGTCAGCAACAATGGATTCTGCAAGCCATGTGGTGGTCAGGATACACAAAGCGCGCCACGGTTCGCAGCCGTCATGGCACGTCAGGTCGCACCAAACCTCGTGCGTTTTGGGCACGGCAGGCCTGCCGAGGGGCAAAGTAGCAATACAACAGTAGCCACTTGTTAACGATGCTCGCTTTGCACTAACGATAGCGGTGGTGTGGATCATCAACACTTGGAGCCTCCGCGGGGCCGGCAGATCAGAGTTGTCTTGGGCCGTGCTTCGTGCACACATTCTCTTGAGAAGCGAGATATGTAATGTCCTGGCGAGAATTGGTCATGGATTCAACGTTGGCTCGTCAGCCGTCTCCGCATCATCGGCGCTGCTTTGGCTGCAGGTGTCCGGTGACACCACTGCACTATTGAACGGCGGCCAGCTCAATGGGAATGCTTGAAGTTGCGGCGCACAATAACCTAGCTGCTGCATTCTCCCCTGCGACTGCTTGCCTCAAGGCAAGCAGCAAGCAATTAATAACAACCAATATATCCACTAATAAGATGATTGAAAATAGCAGTGTGGCGTTTCGCGTGCCCACCGAGAGTCTGGGGGCTTGTCCTTTTTCCTCTGTTGGCGCACCATTGCACCGGGTGGCCTATCAATATCAACAACCCGGAGCCTAGTTAGCAGCGAGGAGGCTTGCCGATCATCAGCAGCTGCCCGCCAAGTGGCTGAGACCCGAAGCCACTCTAGTCTTTGTCTGTACTTCGTACAGTGTACGGTGAATGCCCAGCGAGCAACACGCCGAGGTAAAATGGCGCAATGAAGTTGACCCGTCGTTTACCAACCTTTCTTTCTCTTGGCTTGAGAACGCCCGTTAGCGTGAGGGTCCCGGTCCGGGCAATCTAACTCATGACCGTCTAACAAGTGCATCCGAATTGCTGCGACACGTGGTGGAGTGGTCGCTTTTTTTTCTAGACCCCCCGGTGGCTCGATCGTGTCCACTCCACCGCTCGATCCTGCGTCGACGATGAATTCGATGTGCGAGATTTGCTTTGAAACGGTGGTTCGAGTCACTCTAAAAAGGCAAGTGGTCGTCTTCTGTCCAGGGATTCGTGCATCCGGCGATGCGGTACATGGATTCTAAGGACCGGCATTGCGGCCATGGCGGGTACACGTCGGACATTTTCTCATTAAAAGCTTCTAATACCCGACCAGCTTCCTCGCCAAGGGACATGAGTTTTCCGCGGTCAAGTCAGTCGTATTTGATGGCCGTGAGTAACTCGTCCAGCGGGTTGGAGACTGGCTGGACGGGAGGAACCCATGCCGACGCTAGAGGACTCACAGGCGCTACTGTGCTAATTGTAGAGTTGCAGCGCTGACGCCACCTTTTGTATATGTACTCATGTTGTATCCGTAAGTACGGATTATAGACAGGTCGAATGCGGAACTGATGTCCGTGGTGTGGCAAGGCTGAAGTGAGGTTGGGATGGAACCTGGCTCGTACGTTTCTGACAGAGCGTCTGTTCTCAGCGACGACAGCACGCATGGCAGGCAGTTTGGCGGTCGAGGCCACAAGTTATTAAACACAATCTTCTCATCGCGGGAGCGAAATGAGTATCAAGTTGGGCAGCGCGGAAAAGACGCGATGGAGACACGCGGGGACCACAGAGTCGCAAGGAGGCGTTTTTATCGTGCAGAAAGATGAAGAAGAAAAAAAATTCCCCGACGTGGTCCGGAATTACGGAGTGCGTAACGGCCCGTCGCATCCTGTCCAGTCACTTGACACGGTGGACAAAGTACTGTGCGTCATAGTGAGTGGTATCTGATGTCGGTCCAGCCCATATAACTTCGCGCGGCGACTCGGACAGCTTGTACAAGGCCACACGACAGCAAGGTCCATGTGCCGGGTCGCACCACTGCCTCCACCTAAATAAGTAACTACCACCATGATCATGATATTGAGGCCCAGCAACGCGTCTACTCCTCTCCCTCCCAATACCACCGTCACTATGTACGGAGTACAAATTACCATCCATCATCATCATCATCATCAGCAATTGTCCAGCAAGGCGTCCTCTTCCCCTCTCCGCCCCCTCTTCGCCGCCTCCTCTCAACACCACCAGCCACCATCGTGACCCCTGCCACCATCCATCCCCTTGACCACTCACAAATGCACAAACGCTCTCTGCTCTCTGGGCCTGTGGCTGCCTGGCCCTCGAGCCTGCTCTTTTCAGCGAATCAGAGCGGCCGAGCATGAGGAGCCGGCTGGAACAGCGTCGCATCACATCATTACCAACAGCTTGTTCAAGGCCGTATTTTGCCTTCTCCGCCCCATGCGCGCTGTTTCTATTCATATGACTATGTGGCAGCCAGCAGAACGGCACCATCGGATCACTCCAACGGCCCCGAGGAAATGCGTCGAAACCTATAGCACTTTGCAATTACGAACTATCCGCTCCCTGAGCAGCTAAGCACAGTCCATGACCAATAACACTTATCCCGTCCATTAATTAGCAGCTCTCGCCAAGCTCCCTCAGCGACACAAGGCCATCAAACCGACGGGGTTTACGGGGTACTTGAACAACTCTACCATGCCCAAAACATGGGCACTCTGGCCCGTCAGATGCACTTCTCATCCTCTCGTATGATATTGCGACCGACAGGACTCAAACACGCCGTATTATGGACCAGTAAGCCGCGCACCGCCCGTCATCTCAGCCTCGCTATCGTTTATATGCAGTACTCCGGTCGTTGCCCGTGAGAACAAAATGGAGGTCCCCGATGCTCCCTCCTTGTGTTGCCAGTTTTGACACACATTCTTCTGATGACCGTCTTTATTATGCGACGGGCTCGCCGATGCACCTGGCACCATGCAGAACGCGTGTCTCAAGCACCGGGGCCCAATGAGAATCGGCAAATCTGTTTTACTCGCAAAAAGTCTCGCTGGTGTGGTTCAGGGCTGGAGGACATGGGTTGCAGCTTTGCCCCCCCCCCCCCTGCATGACAACAGTTGCCAGCAACGTGGACTCCAGCATTCTTCTAGCAAAGCTTCTTTCTTCATAATCCATGGACAATCCAATGTCTTCGACCCAGTCTTGCCAGTGCAACATGGGTCATGCCTGTCTCGAACACACCACGGCTCGTGGGGGTTCCGTCCCAATGGTTCTTGTTATGAGAGTCGACTGATCTCCTTTCCCCAATGTTCCCCAGCCGTTTTTTATCATAAATCGCTCAATGGCTGCCTAAGAACGCCCCCTCCCCCGCAGCGAACCCTCACAAACTGACACCTGCAAAACGTGAGCAAACCAGATTTCTTCCTATTGAGCTTCTGTTCAAATCATCAACAATTCTATTGTTCGTGCACCATAATTGCTCTCGTAGGAAATTGGTGGGGGTGCGCGCGACGAGGGGGTTCGGTTCTCCAAGCGGCTGCTCTTGATGTTTGATATAAAAGTCTCTTTGTTTTGTGTGCCGAAAATAGATGGGTTGCATGAAGCCCCCTGTTTCGCCTCAACCACCGACCCAACCCGTGATACACGGTGCGGCATTGGCATACATTTGCCATGCATGCTAATTTTAGTCTCCGAAGTCTCGTTTTCTCTTTTTCGTCGTCTTCTTCGGCCAAAACGTTTCTTTGTCCGATGCAGCCGCATAAATCGTCTGGTCGGTCGCTGTGCATGATGATGATCACGTTCACGCCCAACGGACATCCTTGATGTGCTTGTTCTGTCGGTATCGTCATTTCCGAACTACTACATATGTGGCTTGAGTCCAAAAATATTTCTAGGCACAGAAGCTGTTGAAAACCCCCAAATGGAGCAAAGCGTAGCGTAACGTAAAAAGGAATATGCGCAAAGTGTAGTCACATGTAGTGGCATAGTACAAAGCAATCGCTTAAATCTCTTGAAACGATATGCTAGAACTGAGTATTCAAACAAACGAATGTTGCATTCGCATTCCAACCAACAATATGTAAATCATTCTAAACCGCCGTCTGGCATTGCTGCCATCCGCCTCTATACAGTCATCAATATTCGAGTCTGATCATTAACCAAAAGAAAAAATAAAAGAAGTCGCGAAATTTGAGCCTTTGCCTTTCCGTTTTATAGTGTCCGACATAAGAAGAGAACCAAGTTTGCACTTGACTGGGGATTTGGGGAAAAAGAAAAAAGCCGCCAATACAATATACCAAAACAAGTCGATGAAATTGAGCCAGCAGAGCCGGGGAATGAGCGGTAAACATATAGTATCCAAAAGAACACGTGAATTGACAATATGGGACAAATTCAGAGGTGTCACAGAGAGTTTGGGCCGAGAGGCTGTGTCAACTGCGTCAACGGACACAGGGAGCGCACTGCCAGCCTTGCCCGGAACGTGTTCAAGACTGAACGCAGAACATGGTTTGCCCAACCAAGATATTAACATTCGGCGGTTCAATTCAGAACTTTTGATGGTTCAAGCCTTGCTGTAGAAAATGTTGTTCGCTGTCCATGGTAAATCCGTTGCTCATGAGAAACCCGGACGGTAACTCACGCTGCACGGCGTATCCTTGTTGCGGCGGCATGCCAGGGTGCATTCGTGGGTCAACGTGAATAGCTTCGGCTCCCATAAACACCTCCTGTGAGCCTCTGGCATATACCTGCGACATTGCGTCACCCAATGGTGTCGGCGGGGTGTTGTGGACGCTGCCTGAGTAGGTGGCCGGCGACAGCGAAGGATCCGCACTTCTTCTCATGACCAATTCTGAGCTGACGAGAGACTCCGGCAACTGAACATGAGTCTGATAGGATGGGTCGAAATCATATTGTGAAGATATACTTGCGTTGGCTTGATTCTTTCGTAGCCGCTGCCGTCTCCTGCCGATGTCTTGCCCTCGTGCCGCTGCGCGTCCACGCATCGTCAGCATTGGTTGCAGTTGACTGTTATTCATGTGATAGTTTCCTGACCCAAGGGAAAATGCGCGCTGCAAAGTCTCCTCTTTGCTCATAATGTTGCCAGTTATCAACTCCCTTCGCAGCTCTGTAGAGTGTTTCCAATCCCACACCAGAGCCCTCATGTCGACATGCTGCGCTACACCTTGCATGCGGCTCTGACGCAGGAGACTTTGTATTCTCGTCTCGTAGGACCATTCAGCACATTGGTCTTCGTCATAGTGCTTAATGACATGTTCAATGTAATCTCGGAATGTTTTGCCGTTGTCGCCGGCGGGCGGAGCTTCCAACAACACCGAACAGTTGGCAAATCCGCAAGCAAAGATGATTGGCTCGCAGATAGTGACTTCGTGATTGTGTATCTCATTGTTTGAGACGATTTGCTTGTGTCGCCCGTCGGTTTTGATGTGCTGAGAGAATTGCTTCTTCGATTCGGTCTGGAATTTGCAACCTTGTACAGGGCAGCGAAACTCTGTAACGACGTGATGAAAATCTCCCATGTGTCGCTTCAAATCGTTCTTCCTGGCGCAGACAACTACATGATTCATCTCTTTGCAAAAGCCGCATTGATGGCCTTCCTTGTCTCGCGCAGGTTCTGTGCCCGAGGTGGATCGCGGCGACGGAGAGTCACCAACAGCGGCTCTTTGAGAGTTGTGAGCAGGCTTTTTTCCGCGCTTAGTCCGAGAAGCACTGGCAGCCAGTTCTGTCGGTTCAGAACTCGTATCTGTGACCTTTTAGTGTGGCTCCAAGTATGTTTGTACGGATTTCACTAACCTCTAATTCCGAACCGCGAAAGCTGACTATGTAGGAAGGGAGAGCGTTGAGCTTCCGGCAGCCTCTCCAGCAGATTCTCGATCAGGACCTTGAGGTCCTCCGTATTCGTCGGCTCTTGAATTACGGTCATGCTGTTGGCTTTGAACTCGCAGATTGATCTTGGTGTTGTTACTCCTCCGGAAAAGTTGCTGTCTTCGGAATAAAAACTAGCCGGCAGGTAATTTGGTGTAGGGAGTCTCATGACGAGATATAGAAAGCGAGGGCTAGGTTCGATTGCAGAAACTGATAATTATAGGTGGCGGCATCCACTTTGTCGAAACGATTTCTATCCGACATGTAGTTGACTCTTTGTGGCGGTTTCTTTGTGGTAGACGCCTGTGGCAGGTGCTCTGTGGCAGCAGACGCCTTGTGGCAGACTATACAGTGAGGAGACGTGCTTTTATGTTCAGTTAGCTTTCGCATCGGATAGCGCCTCCTTATCTTTAAGTTGACGGGGCCATTAATTACCTAGTTAACTTCCTTTGGGTACAGCGACAAGCTTTCTGGGGGCGTGTGCGTATGTTTCGTGGTGGACCGCCAACAGACTGGCTACGTCGTGGTGATGGTTAGTTGTTGTTGGGTGAGGCAGAACAGAACTGTGGCTGCGTGCCATGCGCGGGACATGGATGGTTTAAGAATCTTGTAAAGTGCGGTTAGTGTGCCAACTTTAATTTATCATTTTGAGCTGCGAAGCCGGCCGGCCAGGGGATGTACCTGGGTGTGTACCTGGACGTGCCAGATGACTGAGGTTGGTCTAGGAGCACGCCACGTCAAGTGCAGACACTTTTTCCGTGTGGAGACAAAAAAGAAGCCCACCTAGAACTTGCGTGCACTATTCTGAAAGCAGAGATAGTCGAGTTACACGAGTCTTGGTCCAGGGTTATGTTGGTAGATTGCGTGTTGGTGGTTGGCTTTGTGAGTGGGAAAGAGGACCAGGCACCAGGGTGCCCCTCGATTTGCGCGGTCGAGCAAGGCAAAAAAGGTTCTTTTGGAATGGGTACTAAGACCTAGACAGGGCGAGGCGGCGGGCCCCGGTCAGAGATCTGGCCAACGCAGCCACGGTCAATGAGCAAGCAGAGAGTATTGGAGGCGGCTCGGTGGAGTCCGCCACCTTGTGACTGCTGAATACAGCAAGCCGCCAGTGTATCGGTAGTTGATTATGCGTCCGTTGCAAGTTTGCCAGCAAAGACTGGCGTCGGGGGTGGCCGGCGCTGCGTTGGGGCGGTGTCAAGTTGGGATGGTGGCATCTGGGAATCATTCTAGAAGGGCGTTCGTGCGCAAGGGTTGTTGCGTCTCCGAAACGCAAACGCGCACTAATGCAAGTGAAGAAGCTGAATGGCAGTGGATACGAGAGAAGAATGCTTGGGGGCATAGCCTTGTTGATTGATGAAATAGCGATGTGTGTGGATGCAGTGGGTGATGTGGGTGATTTGTGTGTGTGGGATGGTGATCAACGTTGATTGACGTTGGTGCTAAATAACGATGGAGGACGAGGAAGGTGACTTTTGCCGTGACGATGGAGGGGTGCCTCCGCCAGCTGGCGGCAGAACCGTGCCACTCCGCGCGCGTTTGGCTCTTTACATTCAAGAATTTACTACACTTTTTTCAGCTCGTCAACATCATTCTCGTCAATCAACAACATCATCACTAGCATCATCAATAACATCCGCCACTATCAGGAGCACCACCAGTGCCATTCCAAATTCTCCCCCTCGTTGCAAACAGCTGCAAGACGCAACACTCAACCTGTCCCGGCAGAACTCATTTTAGGCAATTTTCAGGTCTCAAGGTGGTCAGACATGGCTACTTGCGCTGCATCTCCAACCACGGTTGCGCCGATTGCTTGAATTGTTGTATTGACAAGCACAACCCCCCACAAATCTCTGGAAATAAATCGTGCGCTAACCAGCCTGCGCTAACTTGCGAGACCCTGAGCTGATGAACCGGAGATGCAGAGTCGAGATGGCTGTTTGCGTCCAGCACGATGCCTCGGTTCCGATGTGCATTTAATTTATCGCTTGCCGATGTTTTCTCGAAGACGATTTCTGACAAGAAAGTCTGGGAAAATGCAGTCGGTCGACCCAACCACACGTCAACCACTCATCACCAGCTGTCAATCTCTGTCACGCAAGGCTGGCGGATCAGCACCCGGTCCCACTGGCCGTGCACAGAACAATAGCAAGCGAGCTCTATTCATTACCCTTTTGGGATCCACCGGGCACCTCCCATTGACGGTGTCGCCGACCTCCCACTCCGAGCCGTCGACAACCCAACACATGTCTGCCAATCTGCCAATGGCATGCAGAGGTACGCGCCTGACTGCGACATGGCGCTCAAGAGCCCTGTTTTCGGTGTTGCTACCCGTCGTGGGTCGTGGCGTATTGGGTAAAATACTTTCGGGATCTCGGTCCTGGTCTCCTCCTGTTGACCGCCGTTGGCCCTGGGAACTTGCCTGGGAACTCGTCTTTGAGTAACGTCGGGCGAATTGTCTCATCCCAGCAGCCACTCCTCCGAGGAGGACCGGCTTGCTGCAGCCACCACGACTATGGCACTCTGCCCATAACTACCTATCGTTGGCTGGTTGCCTGCCTACCACAACCTGCCAACAATTTGATGCCCAGTGCACACGTGCGCACTGCCCATCCAAGCACTCACCCATCAAAGCGGCATTCCAGTTGCAGTTAGCCCAGCTCGGAGTCCTGCAAGAACTCGGCGCGGGGCCACGCCTCCTACATCGGTGCGGAAAGTTGTACGAGCCATTTCCTTTAAATTAGCGAATGTGATGTTTCGCAACTCGGTCTGGCCAACACGACGCGTCATCCCCTTGGATGTGTGAATACCCTGGCATGGTTACTGGCTAGGATGCTCACCAATAAGCAAGCTTTTTATGAGCGGTACCTGTGCTTTAGTGACTATTGTGTGGGCGCAAATGTATCGAAATTACAAAGGTTCCTAACACAGGGATTACTTGGTCGGCGATGAAGTACCTTATTGAACGTCAATTGTTGATGATAGTAGGCATGAAGACCCGCCAGACTCCTTGCACATCCGAAAGGAATGATTGGCAGCACTATTGTGTCACATTATTTTTTCTACATGGTGTGCTGTCAAAAGAAACTGGTAACGGCAAGCCACTCATGCAACTTGAACAGTACCCGATCCGACGCTAGACAAGTTTTGGGCAGTCTAGTCTCATGTACATGCATGTACGGATTACTCTGCATCCATTATTGATGTTATATTCAGCAAAGTCATTTGTTGCGAGTATTATCTACAAGGAAAAGGACCCCGCGTGTCCCACCAGGGTAGCGCTACCTCGGGCCGGTCGACTGACCACGACCGCCTGGGCTTTTTGCTCTGAGGTCAGGTGCCTCGTCGCATAGTATTCCTTTTCGAGCGCCGCCTTGACAGCATCCATTTTGTCAATAGGGACAAGGTGCACAGTGCACCCTCCCCAGCCGGCACCCGTCAAGCGGCTGCCGTAGGCACCCGCACTGCGCGCAATGCGGCAAATGTCGTCGATTTCAGGGCAACTGCACTCGTACAGCTCGCGGCACGAGTCTTGCGTAGCATTCATAAGGTTGCCAAGCTTCTGGTTCACGTCGGCGCTAGCTGGGGTGGCATTCTCGAGTAGCTTGAGAAACTGCACTACACGGAGCGCCTCACTAAAAACGTGAAGAGCTCTTTGGCGGATCTTGAAGCGATCGGCGTGGACTGTAAACTTGGACAGGAATCTCTTCTCCAGGTTGGCCACGGGATCGGCATCATCGCTACTGGTGGCTATAGAGGAGCCCTCCTCGGCTGCCAGGTTGGCCAGGTCCGCCGCAACGGATTCTTTAAGAACCTGAGCAAGTTCCTCGCGAGTGTAACCCTCCTCCTGCGTGAGCGTCTTTTCCGTGAGGCGGATGAGGCGCTGGAGCTGCTGCTCCGGGCCGAGCCCGGTCAGGTTATTGGAGGCGTAGACGTCGTGAAATCCTTTGAGACTAGTACGCAGGGGCCCAGCATCGAGGGGAAGGGTGGTGCCTGGTGGATTCAGGGTGGCGTTGAGATAGGCAGCGGCCAGGCTGCACTCGACGACGCGCAGGTTGTAGCGGGTCGGGGCGGTGTCATGCTTGGTCGAGGTAACAAAGGATTGGGCAATGACGAAGCCGAGTTCTGGGTCGGTGCGAGGAAACTTGATGGGCTTGGCATCAAGATGCGGGCTAAAGGAGACGAAGAGGGCAGATCCAAGCTCCGAGAGTACGGAAGCGGCCTGATCCATCCTGACAATGGTATGTTAGTTAGTGGACGGTTTGAAGCGCCACAGAGTGATGGAAACTGTGTCATGTGCCCAGTGTCCAATTACAGCTTGGTACTGATACAAGAGGCAAAAACTACAGGGAGCTTGTGGTGACTACTTACCCACCAGAGTAGACCCCAACCGATCTCTCGCTGACAATGGCAAGCTCAGTCAGTTCCTTCTTGTCGACAGGAGCATCGCTGTTGGCCGTTAAGACAGCCAGGGCACTGGCGCTCACAAAGGCAGCACTCGAGCTGAGACCGCCGCCGACAGGCACAGTGCCATCCATGATAACATCCAAGTCACGGGGACAGAAGTGCTCCTCTTTCCCCGCCGCCCTGGCCTTTTGCCTGAGCAGGCCCAGGGCCCCCTTGAGGCCGCTCATGAAATAGTTTGTCCACTCCGAGGCCGAGGCGTCAATCGCAATGTCGGCGTCCTTTTCGAGGACAAACGTGCGCGATGGAAATGTCTGCTCGTCGACGTTGCCGATGCGGATCGTGTACGTCGTCTCGCTGGCGGCGCTGCTGCTCGGCCGCGCAGACACGGCGAGGAGGGCGTCGGCGGTAATGGCCATGGGCAGCACAGCGTATAGGGAGTAGTCAATGTGCTCGCCAATGATGTTGACGCGGCCCGGGGAGCGAGCGACAAAGGTGGGCGACGCGCCAGCGTAGGCGGACTGGAAACGGGCGCGCAGGCGGTCCCATCGCGCTGCTTGCTGGGCGAGGGCGTCGGGGGGGTAAATGTCAGCCAGGGAGGCGACGAGGGGCACGGAGGAGGAGGAGGACATGACGGGTGGCGATCTTGTTCGAGGGCGTGTGATTGCGGTGAGAGGTCAACCCCAGAGTTTTTGACTCTCCCGACGACCAGGGAGAGGGATTGTGATCACGAAGACGAGATGATGATCAGGTTACACAGCAGACGAGATGGGTTGTTCGTCCCATGTTGCCATGCTGGTCGAGTTGTAATAAACTACTCCATCCGACGGCTATGGGGGGGTGGTCTTCCCCGCTGTTCGGGAGGGAGCTGGCTGGATTGGTGCGCTTGCGGGCAATTACTCGGAGGGTCTTTGTTCAAATCACAAACCGCCAATTTCCTGGAGTTGCTTGGGCCGACTTCAGGGGGCGTTTGGGGGGTCCGTTGTGGGGGTTTGGGGGTCGTGCTGCCCCTCACGCCGCCTAGAACGATGGCGGGGTTCGCTGCGTCATTGTGCTGGCGATATCCGTAGAGCCTGCAAATATTAGTTAAACTCGCACGAATATTCCGTGATCTTTTTTTTTTTGCTTTTTTTTTTCGCTTGGAAAGGGTTCTTCAACCTCAGAGGCACGTGAGGGTGTGAGTAAGTGGTGTGCGCGTTGGTGATGCGATGACGGCGTTGAGGGTTGTCGCGTCTCGTCTGGTCACCAGCACTTGCCGCCTGGGAAAGCGCACAGAACTGAAAAGAGCAGCCATGACCCTTTATACATTGCAAAATAAGCTCTATTTGAAGCGCCTTCACAGGCCAAACTCGCTTTACAAATTTTACAACTGGTCCATGCCGAGATTTCCCGCGCAAAATCGATGTTGTTTCGCATCGCGAGGTGCTCTAGGGTATTGCGTCACCACTAACTTGTACACGCATTTAGATCCATTGGGCAGTTCCATCCGATACGGGATAGGCACCTAGGTAGTAGGTAGCATATTCCCTGGGGCAAAATGAAGTGAAGCCACCAGCCTGACCAAAGGAATGGCTGCTCCCGTGTGGTCTGCCCGCGGCCCCGACGAACCTACTTTTTACTCTGGTAGCCACGACTTGACCGTCTCATCGTTTGGCTGACCTTGGGCGACAAGGGAAGCTCTCATCTTTTGACACGTCGAAAATGATGCAGAAATCGGCCCCAATTATGACATTTCCCTAGTGACAAAAAAACCTTCTCAGATTTGCTCCCGTCGCGCCGCAGCCGCCCAGGTGGCGGTGGAGGTTTTTTTTGCCGAAAAGGCAACTCGCGTCCAGTAAACGACGGCGACGAGCCTCACGCGAAGACACTAGGTAGTTGGATGCCAACAAGGCCAAGACTTGCCGGCTACGGATAGGAAATCGGACGCATCATCTCCCGGGACTATCCCAGAAGCATCGTTTGAATCCGGTCTGCGCCGGCACACGAGATCCAACGCAGGATTGGCGCTTGCCCCTCCTTCCTCTCTCTCCTCCCCCCCTCCCCCTCTTCCGCCTACAAATAAGCCCACCTTTCCAAAAGTCTGTGCCCTCTTTCCCTTCCTTCATCATCAACATCTCTCTCATATCAACTTACGCAAAATCTACAACGCAAACCTCCATCACAAAACCAAAACATTCATCATGGGTGACTGTGGCTGCGCTTCCTCTGGCTCCTGCAACTGCGGCTCTGGCTGCACTTGCTCCAACTGCCCCGTACGTATTTGTCCACGTTTGCCTTGGTGGAGATTGTGGCTAACATCGGAGATAGCACAAATAAGTGTCGGTAGCTGAGATTAGCTTATAATAAAACTTGATAAAAACACATATGATGGAGTCGAGTGTAAATGTCCATGTACATTCCAACGTAGATGCCATGTAAACCCAGCCAAGCAAGCCAAAGTCGCTGGCGAGTCATGCTAGAGATGACCCCCAAAGTCGGATCGCTCTCGCCCACGATGTTCGTAAATTGAGCGCAGTTCCAAGACAGCCATCACCAGCCTGCATCATGCAGACGCTGTGTGACCTGCAGACGCGCGCTCGCCCGTGACCATCTGGCTAGTCGTCGGGAAAGAAGGCCAGCACCGGGCTGTAGGCCAGCGCGTGTGCCAGCCCGTCGGCCCGGACGTGGCCCTTTTCCAGCTCCAGCTCTATCTCCAACTCCTGCTCCCACTCCTCTTGTTCAATCGGTCGGTACTCGGTCGGCGGCCTGTTGACGCAGCACAGGCACACCAGCTCAAACAGCAGACGGCCGGCGTACAGGGCGACGGCGGTGGCGGCCACGACGATTCCCCGCAGCCGCCAGCACGTCACGACGACGCCGTCGGTGGCGACGACAACGCTACCGCCGGTGCTGAGATTCCGCGCCGTCGCGCGCGCGCGTGTCAGCTGCGCCAGCCCGAGGACCCAGAGGCCCGTCATGAGCACGTCGTAGAGGAGGCCGACGGTCCGAGGAAAATACCGCAGATGCATCAGCGCGAGGCGGGCGAGGAGCACGACGCTCGAGAGGATGGCAAGTGCCAGGCCGGAGCTGACGAGGCTGTTGCACCAAAAAGATTAGCCAAAAAAAAGGAAGTCGGCGGTGTGCCAGGTTGGCCGATGTACCTCGTGGCTTCGTCGCCGTCCTGCTCGGCGCAGGGCCCGCCCACGGTGCATTGGAGCGACTGTAGACGGCCCGCGGTCACGGCCGCGTGGGCGAAGTGAAGCATCGCCGCAATGGCAAGGCACACCTCCAAGCCCAGAAAGACGCGCCGGGCGAAGTCGGCGCACGGTGTCGTCGTCGTCATGGTCGAGAAGCTGTTTGTGTCGTAGGTGCGGGGCTTGGGCTGTCAAGATCGCCAGTATCGGGTGCTGCAGGCCCTCGGTCGCCGCAGGGACGCCGCTTCGTTTCGAGCAAGACAATGCATACTGGTATTTATACAGAGGACATCATGACCAGGGGTTGGTTGAGTTGAGGAGGTTTGCGGTGCTTTATAAGGTTGCGGCAGTGATGTGGGCAGGCCATCCGGGTGGTAACTTGCTCATACTACCGCAGGCGGCGAGGGACGGGGACGGGAGCTGCCGCATTCTTGGACTTGTTTCTACGGAGTAGCGAGGGTGGGTTGAGAATGACTTTGAAAGTAATTTCGTAAACTGGCACGGATTGCACGCGATATATTGCTTTTGGTTGTTTATTGGCTCGTGCCGCTGAGCAAGTTGTGCATAGTGGTACCACCTCATGACGTCGGCAGGCGTGAGGGAATGTGCGAATTGAATTGCAGACTCGAGCCAACCTAGCCGAAGGATCAATTTAATTTCCAGCTCATATAGCTGCGACCTAGATGGCATAAATAAGTCATGTGCTTGACAACGGTGCGAGGCTGTCAACATTGACAAGTGTCGATGGGACTGAAAGTGTCGACGCTCCTGGCGCCCACCCTATTTCCACTTTGTCGCCTCGCTCCGCTTCCCTCCTGTGCTTTTCCGTCGCCTCCACGATGGAGGCTTCTAAATACTATTTATACTACAAGTGAATGTCATTCCGATTCTAGACCATCACCAAACCGGCGGGGGGAACAGTTCTTTGTCGGGGATGGAACCACTGTTCCCGCCCGCAACTCTTTGTCAATCTGCGACAAGAAGAACAATAAATGATCACCATGTATTAAATGACTTCATTTTACTTAAGCACTCTATTCCACCCCTGTCCCTTCTTCGTTTTACAGGAGGCCATGAACCGAACACTCACCGATGCCGAGAATCGACTTTTCTAAGCTCCGTGCGGTAGCTATTTCTGTGTGCATTTCTACCGTCCTCCTTCTCTACTTCGAACATAGCAAGGCCGGTCAGAGTGGCCCTCAAACGCCACTGCTCTACGGCGCTTTCACAGCCTGCATGATTTATATGCGAACACTCCGACGGTAGGGAGGTCTACCGCATCCCTTTTTGGCTCGCTTAGAGTCAGGCCACGTTAAGCGCGGCATCACCGACGACGTATAGGCTATACAAAGTGGTGATTTCCTCGTCGTAAGTTAACACCTAGGCTTGCCATTAGTCTCGCGTGCTAACAATTACTAGTGCCTTTGGGGCAAGATGCTATTTTAGTCCTTAAGAAGAACCTAATTCAAATTCTCAAGTCCAACACACTATACCCTAGAACTCGTGTATGCCTTTGGCGACATGGACGATAAATTCTAGATATATGCCTTCCGTTCACCGAGAAGTAAAGGATGTCAGTGGTTACAACGGCGACCACTAATAACAAAAGGTCTCGTCTGCAGGTATTAACGCTTTAACTACCCAGACTAGAAGTAGAGTTTTCCCTAGACACTCTAGTTTCTAGTCACCTTCTTTAAAACTATATAGGATAGGTAACTTAAGCTTATTAATATACTAGCGTAATTATAATCAATACTCATTATATCTACAAATACAACATATAACTACTCTGCGTGGCGAATACATCGTGCGTAGTGTATCTATATGGTCATGCCGCCTTTTCCATCACCGCTGCGCTATTGCTCTTTGAGAAATCCAAAAAAATCATGGGTATATTGCGCAAAAATGATCATCTGAATCATTCAAGATGCCCTCTATTTTTGCAATAAAAAAAAGATCACAATTCCCAGTGCACCTTCAGAGCCATGAATCGGGGACCGTTCTCATTGGCCAGCTCCGCGGCCGGCAACGCTGATGTCACCACCACAACACTCACCGTTTGCCTCGGTCACGCAACTCAACACTTTACCATAGCCGTCGGCTTGATGCACAACGGCCCGGCACACCACTCCGCCTGGTTCGCATTTGTTTACCTCATCTGGTGCTTGCGACAGTGTCTTTCTCCCCGCAGTCGTTCCTTCTTATTCTCCACAGTTGCCACCGTCTCTCCTTGCTGGCTGCCCGACTGCCCGCGTCCCATCACTCGACCCGCCACAGCCGACCCCCGACCGAGCATGCCATAGCCGCCCTCGCAGCCCAACAAAGCCGATTACCATCAATAAAATCTCACGATGGACGCAGGCAAAATACAAGAGCCCGCCGAGGTCGGCCCGACGCTCCCACCAGCCGCCATGGAGGCCATCACCGCACCGCGGGCCCCAGACGTGCCACGCCGCTGCTTCATCTGCCTGACCGACGAGGACCCCGCCGACGCGCCGAGCTCCTGGGTCGACCCGTGCCCGTGCACGCTTGAGGCGCATCAGGACTGCATGCTGTCGTGGGTGACGGACTGCGAGCGCTCCAGCCGCCCGCTCCTGTGCCCGGTGTGTAAGGCTACCATCGAGATGGAGGGCGCGTGGGACCCCGTCGTCGCGCTGAGTGACCTCATCGCGCGGCGCTTCACCAAGACGAGTCCGCTCGTGCTCTTCACGGCTCTGTCCATGGGCGTCCAATTTAGCATGCAGATGTACGGCGCCACGGCGCTGTGGACGTTTGCCGGCAAGGATGCCATGATGCGCTTCGTGATGGGGCCTGAGATGATGATTGACGGCCGGCGCACGGCACCGCTGGCGTTTGCGCGCGAACGCATCACAAATGCCCTGGTCCTGATGAATGTGGCCCCGGCCCTGCTTATGGGACACTTGTTCCCTGGCTGGAGCAACAAGATTTTCCTGCCCACGGCGTCATTTGCAAGTACCGACCCAGCGTCTACACGTATGACTGAATTCTAACAGCTGTAGTACGGCATTTACCATGTCCTGCACGATGAGCAGTTCTTTACCTGGCCGCCGTCGCCCCAGCTCGCCATGGCTGTCTTTCCCTACATCCGCTCCGTCTACTACAACCTCTACAGGGAGCTTGTCCTGCCCTACGAGACCAAGATGAACCGCCAGCTCATGGGGCTGCCGCCTGTCCCGCCCCGGCCTGAGCCCGCCGCCAACAACGGAAACCAGAACCCCAACGCGGCACGCAACGCGGCGCACGCCCAGGGCGGCGTCGTCGGCATCCTGCAGACGCTAATTGACGCGCTCGAGCAGGACGAGGCCGACGACTTCCCGCGGGCCGACGACTTTCACATTGATATTCGCGGCGAGGAGCATGTCGCTGGCGAGGGCGAGGGCGAGGATGGCATCATGCTGGAAGTGATTGTGGAGGAGTTGGAAATGGACGAGGCTGCCGGTGACGCGGGAAATGCTCCAGAGGACGCACCCGTTGCAGTCCCAGATGGGGAAGCCGTTGAAGCTAACGATGCTGGCGATCCCATTGGTGACGATGCAGCTCCTGCTCCAGTTGTACCTCTAGCTGCACAGCCCGCTGATGCTGCCGCCGAGGCGCCAGGCGCCAACCACGAAGCGCCGCCGGCGCCCGTTCGCCGCATGGGCCTCGGCGCCATCCTCTCCGGTGTGTCGAACGCCATCGTGACAGCGCTCATCCTGCCGGGAGTTTCCTTTGCCGCCGGTGAGGCGTTGCGCCTGGTGCTACCCAAGCACTGGACCGCGACGACGCCCCTCCGCAACCCGTGGACCGCGACTCTGCGCGGTGGCGGGGGCCGCCCTGGCCTCCTTCAGCAGCAATGGGGCCGCAGCCTCGTCGGGGGGTGCCTCTTCATCGTGCTGCGCGACGTGCTCCGCGTCTACACCAAGACGCGCAAGGTGACGGCGCTGTCGAACCGAAGGGTCAAGAACGTGGACCGCCCGAGACGGCAGCGAAAGTAGTGTAGTGGTGTGTGTGCTGTGGGGGCTTGAGATTGGCTGTATAAAATATGCATGGACTGGGAGTCTAGGTTTGCTTTAATTCTTTTCTATAGAATTAACTCTACGTGTTTAAACCACATAATCACATACTGCTTTTACAGCATGATCTGTCCTGGGAAAGTTCTGGAACGTGTGTAAATGCTTGGTTCCAGGCACACAGCGTACGTACGTCCGTCCCGAAGCGTTGGCAGAAAAAGCGGTCCACATTTTTTTCCTGCCGCCTTGTGCTTCCCGCACCCTCAGAACCTCACGTCAACTACTGCCGCGGCTCCTCGCTCTTGTCTACATCCCTTTTACCCTCGTCGTCGTTCTTGTTGCCGTCGACTTTTCAAAAACACACGGTCCAAAATGGTAATGGTCTCCCCTTTCTTTTCCGTCCAGGCTATACTGTACAGCATAAGCACTCACCTCTTTCCCCTTTCTTGGTCCAAAGCTACCCCGCCATCTCGACCAAACATCACCCCTCTCGGGGCCAGATCTTGACAAACACAACACGTTTTCCCCCGCTGAATACTGACGACTCTTTTGCGCACAGGCCGCTCCCTCCTCCAAGCAGAAGCTGGCGCTCGCCATCTGCGAGTTCCTCGCCACCTCGTCCACCGACGGCACCCTCACCGCCGACGACAAGGATTCCATCGACGTCGCCATTAACTGCATCGCCGAGTCGTTCAAGGTTGACCCGACCGACAAGGCCGCCGTCGCCCGCGCCATTGGCGCCCAGAACTTGCTGCAAATCTACTCCGTCTACGAAGTCGCCAAGTCGCGCAACAATCCCGCCGCCGCAGCCGCTGCCGCCGCAACCACCCCCGCGCCTGCTGCCGCAGCTGAGACCGCCGCCGCCGCCGCCAACGTTTCCGACGACAAGAAGCGCGAGGCCGATGGCCTCAAGAGCCAGGGCAACGCCGCCATGGCGCAAAAGGACTACGCCACCGCCATTGACCTCTACACGCAGGCGCTCGCGCTGCACCCGCAAAACGCCGTGTTCCTCAGCAACCGCGCCGCCGCGCACTCGGCCGCCAAGGACCACGCCAGCGCAAAGGTCGACGCCGAGGCTGCCGTCACCATCGACCCGGCGTACACAAAGGCCTGGTCGCGCCTTGGGCTCGCCCGCTTCGCGCTCGGCGATGCCAAGGGTGCCATGGAGGCCTACGCCAAGGGCATCGAGTACGAGGGCAACGGCGGCTCCGACGCCATGAAGAAGGGCTACGAGACGGCCAAGCGTCGCGTCGAGGAGACGGGCGGCGATGACGATGATGTTGCGACGCGGGGTATGCCTGGCGCGGGCGCGGGCGGCATGCCCGACTTTGCGAGCCTGGCAAGCATGTTTGGCGGCGCGGGCGGTGCTGGCGGTGCGGGCGGCGCAGGTGGCGGTATGCCCGATCTCAGCTCCATCATGAGCAACCCCATGTTTGCCAGCATGGCCCAAAACATCATGAGCAACCCCGACATGATGAGCAACCTCATGAGCAACCCGCGCATCCGCGAGATGGCCAACCAGTTTGGCGGCGGCGGCGGTGGCGGCGGCATGCCCGACCTCAACAGCCTCATGAGCGATCCCAGCATTGCTGAGATGTAAGTTTTATCGTTGAGGTGGCGGACTTGAAGAAGAATGCAGTACTAATCTCCATACACTAGGGCTCGCAACATGATGGGCGGTGGTGCTCCTCCTGGCAGTCCCGGTGCTCCTGGCGGTCCCGGCGCTGGACATTGATAGAACTAAAAAACGATTCAATGATTTCCTTTGTTGCATACCTACTCGTTCTTCCTAATTTATGTGAAAAATAGAGTTACATGTTTATTGATATGCCGCATTTAGCATACTCGAAGCGAAAAGTACTACAACCTGCCTTCCAGTGATACATGAAACTGCATACCTAACAAGACGTCTACCGTATTCTATAAGCAAATCATGCTGTATTATACCATTACAGTACCCGCCACGATGCAAATCCATACTGAAATCTCCTTAGGTGTAAACAACCCCAATGAATAAAGTGGTGTAAATGCTGCATATCCTCTGCCCATGTTGGGATTGTGTTCCATTAATACAGTGTAGCCAGTCAACTGCGGTAAGTATACATCAGCGGCTTCTTAGTTTGTGCCGACTGTAGTTGATGGGGCACGTAGGCTGCCAGATGGCCCACGCCCTCGACGCCCACGAAGCCATCCGCGCCCGCGGCGACTGCCACGGCTCTTGGAAAGAGCTTCGGTAGCTTTTCCGTCTCCAACGTGCGATGGCGGCTCGTTCTCATCATTTATATGTTCTGTTTCTTGAGTCTTCGCCTTTGACTCAGTGATTTCTTTGACTTCTGGCAAGGCACTAGAACCGGCGCGACTGGGCGTGTCTGGTGGAGGTCCCGCCTTTAGTTTGGGAAGCGATGTACGATTTGCATGGGGAGCGGAAACCCTGCGCTTCTTGCCAAGTTAGTGTGCAGGTTTTCCGAGTCTCTGCATTGAAAAACATACATTAGATACCGTGAACTCGACTGGCAAAGGCTGGGCCAGCTCAAGATCTCCATACGGCGGATCGCTCTTTGACTGAATTCGTCTCGAATAGCGAGGGTGTTTGTACTGCACGTCGGGCATTTTTCCCACTGAGTCTGTTCGTTCCTCTGGCAGTTTCTAAGCACTAGAGTCCTTTGACTCCTCCGCATTATCAGTACTGGGTGTAGGCATCACAAGCTCGGCCTGTCCCTCGTCTGCCTTGGCGGCGGCGGCAACCTCGTCTGCCCAGAGCCGTGCCCGCTCGGCAGACGAGCCCAGTTTGTCGTAGTCGCTCGCCTTGACAATTCCCTTGGGGGTGGCAGTGCGCGGTGTGAATTCAGGAGCCACAGGGTTCAACTTCGAAGCTTTGCTCATAGCATCGCTGTCGATAGACGTTCTCGCTTGACGGTCGCGCTTGGCCCTTGGAGTGACATGATGGACGGCGTCGCTAGAGTCTTGCTCAGACAAGGGCGTTTCGTCTCCACTGTCACTAACAGTTCGAGAGATCTGGGTACTTTCCTGCTCGGAAAGACTTGCTTTCAAGTTTTTCTGTTCATCGAGTGCCTTGGTTATGTTGAGAGTCGGACCTTTCGGCTGAACAAAAACCTGCTTTGACCACAGATCTGCATATCGTCCCTGAGCGCCAATCAGCTCATCATGACTGCCACTCTCAATCACTTCGCCGTGTTCAATCACAACAATCCGGTCGGCATTCATAATAGTCGACAAACGATGAGCGACAATAAATGTGGTGCGGCCTTGGCATAGACGTCGGAAAGAAAGTTGGATCTGCTGCTCCGTATCGGTATCAACAGCGCTGGTCGCCTCGTCGAGCAACACAATATCGGGCTTGCGCAGAATGGCACGCGCAATAGCAACACGCTGGAGCTCTCCTCCGGATAATTTCACACCGCGCTCTCCAACACGAGTCTGGTAACCATTGGTAAAGCCCACGATCTTATCATGAATGCAAGCAGCTCTGCAAGCGTCGAATACTTCTTCATCGGTAGCCGTGATTCTGCCATATCGAACATTGTTGATGATGGTGTCGTCAAAGAGAATCGGGTTCTGGGGGACAATGCCTATGCGGTCGCGGAGGCTGAATAGGTCAACGTCACGAATGTCTTGTCCGTCAATGCGAATCGCGCCGCCTGTCACATCATAGAAGCGATCAAGCAGGCGAAGCAGAGTAGACTTGCCAGCGCCCGTGGCGCCAACAAAGGCAACAGTCTGGCCACCAGGAATTTCCAAGTTGACATCCTTGATGACGCCTTTTTGCTCGTCATAGCTGAAGCAAACCTGGTCAAACTCAACCTTGCCAGAGACAAACTTGAGTGGGCGGGCATTCTTCTTGTTCTCGACACTGGGCTTGGTGTTCATAATGTCTAGCAGACGCTCGGCATCAATGAAATCGTCACTCATGCTTTTGCCTAGCTTGGCGAAGAATTGTAAAGGCGAGGTGAGCTGAGCCCAGTACATGAGCAACATGGCGAATTGACCAGAGGTGGCTCGACCGTGCTGGATGCGGTAGACCGCGAGAAAGGCAGAGGCCAAGAGTCCAGAAGAAAGTACAATGGTTTGAAAGGCGGTCGAGATGTGCCAGCTCAACACGTACTGTTGCTCCCTAAGCCAACGGTTTGCCACGGCATTAGCGTGTCGATTGTCCTCGTAGCCAATTTGGTTGAATGCAGAAACAGTCTGCCAGCCTAGGAGGCCAGAGTGGCGGACGTAGTGCTCCTGGTAGAGGGCATTCACTCTATTTCGATTAACAGACTTGGATTTAGCCACAAGGCGGCTGGCGCAGTGCAGGAAAATGGTGGCTGTGGCCATGGTGATAAGCCCTTCATAAGGTCCAAAGGTGACGGAGAGGTAGACGACGGCCACCATCATGTCGACGAGCATGGGAGTGGCCTGGAGAAATATGCTCTCGACAGCATTGGAGACGGCGCCGCCGCCATGAATAGCCATGAGCATGTCCGACGAGCTCTTGGAGTCGTGGAAGTCGGCAGAGAGGTGCATCATGTGCGAGTAGGCAGCACGGGTTAACGCATCGTGGGAAAAGTACTTGACGGGAATCCAAAGCCACTGTCGAACGAGCTCAATACCGCACTCGGAGGAGGCCAGACGGAGCACGGCATAAGTCAAAACAGCGATCCAAGGGCTGACGTTGTTGGTACCGCTGAGACTGTCCATGATGATGCCGGTCTGGCGAGGAATCAGTAGATGGAGTGCGTTTGAGATGAAAAGGCAGAGGACGACGGCGAAAGCTCGCATCTGCAGTGTTTTGTGTCCAACTGGCCACACATAAGGGAATAAGATCTAACAGGTTAGTGTATGAAGGTGGTACAACGGCGAATGGCTGGCTTACCATGAATCCTTTTACGTATTGAAACCAGTTGCCATTTTGTTTGAGGCGCTTTTCCATGACCTCACGAGCTTCGCGTTGCCTTCTTTCCCAGTTGTACTCTGCCTCACTCTCGGTCCGCGTTCCGTAGCCGGTAGGTTGGTCATCTTTGGGTAAAAGAGACTCGGCCTCGGGGCTTGGGTCCGAAACGGTACAACGGCCTAGTATAGCGGCGGAACCTAGCACTGCAAGCACCGTGCAGCGAAAAATGCTCAAGCCAAAGTCGGAGAGCACAAAAAAGCCGGCAAGATTGGGGGTAATGGAAAGCGTTGACCAAATGGTAATGACGACTTCAAAGACAAATGCCAGTGCAACGGAGCCCCAAAGCGGAATAGGTGAGGGACGGTCAGAATCGATAATGCGACTGAGCTGGATGCCAAAGACGAGGAAGCATGACAGATGACCGATGATAACATGCTCGTCAACAGTCCATGCGTGAACCAGAATGGCGTGGGCGCAGAGCAGAGCCAGCTGGGCGGCATAGGTGGCCAGAAACACACTATACGATGTGATGATGAAGCATTTGCTGGGCCTCAGAGGTCTGTCATCGTCTTTCAAGTCCTGAAGCGTGCAAGTGGCGACGACGGAAGCAATGGCGGAAAAGAGGAAAACGGTTGTCGGATAGAGGTAGCAAACGGTAGCGAGAGAGGAGATGGTCGCGATGGTGAGGGCCATGGCGGGTGTTGGTTGAAGGTTGAGCGCTCAGAAGTAGATGGATGGAAGGGACCAGTCCGACTTGAGCTATTAGAAGATGAACAATGAAGGCTGCGTCAGGAGCGTCGAGCATGAAGGAAGAAGAGCGCGCCGTGACTTGGACTGTCCGGGTAGGTGTCGAGCAAAGAAGGAGTGAGTCAAGCTCGCGACGAGGTTACCAGCGGGTAGCGACAGGCCGTCATTCATTGATTGACAAGCAGGCAAGTGCTATCCAGAGAGCGTGTATGGAGTACTGACTGGTGCAGGCAGCACCGAGAAAAGGCCCCTGCCAGCTGCAGCACCGGGCCAGTATCGACGAGGCCTCGGGGCGAAGCGGCGAGCAGCGATTGGGGTGTGTATGGACAGTGGCGTCTTGTGTAATGCGACGGGTGTGACAATGCACAAAATATTTTCTTGTCACGGCGGGCGTCTTTTGTGGTGATGACGGGTGGTTGATTAAAGACTTGCCCACCTACCGATGTAACTACCTAGGTAGGTAGGCAGCAGCAGGTCAGCCTGGGATATCAAGGTGCATGCATGCGCTGGGGGTTGCAGGTCCGAGGGGGTACGCACCAGAAATTGCAGACCGAGGGAGTACAGGCGTCAATGAGAGGAGATTGCGATGGAATCGGAAATGGGAGAAAAGGGAGACGATGGGAACGAGAAGGTCGAGACTCGAGAGGTTACGAGTCGTAAATACTGGATTGCAAACGCCAGGATACGACGCCGAGCTAGCAGGGCTTGGACGGCCTGACCGCCTGTTGTGTTCAGTGCTTCAGTGTTTGTAGGAGTTTTGGTACCTGTGTTATTGCTGTCCCCGGTGGATGGGCCTTGAGTAATGGCACATTCTGTCTTTTCTGGAGGCTTTTCTTTTTTTCTTTTTTTCCTTTTTCTTCTTCTTCTTCTTTCTTCTTTTCTTTCTTCTTCTTGGTTGTTGACTCTTTTCTCAATTTTATTTTTCCGTTGTACAGTCATTGTTGCCTGATCCTTCTCCCGCTGGCTACACCACATACCAATCTGTCACACTGTCAACCTGCTTCAACTCGGCCCAACACACGCCCAGTAACTCCACGTACATACACGTACATACCTACCACCTTGCTGCCAACACTTCCCTTTCATCTCCAAATCTTCCTATTGGCAGCGGCGACCCGGAACCCGGCCTCCCGGGACACCCCGGCCGGTCACCCCGTTCCAGGAGCATCTAGATGCTAGAGGGACCCAGTAGTTAGACTGTCACCAGACCTGCTAGTGTGTGGCTGGTTGACATCGAAAATAATTGCACGGTCCGTAGTTTAAACGTTGTATCTGACCTGTAATAGTACCGAGTTGTTATTGTTTGCTCATCCGAGACTTCTCCGCTGCTGTGCTGTGCCCGTCTGCTTCCCGTGCTGCAGATCGGGGCCAGTGATACGGGACGGATCGCCAATTGTGTGCTAAATCTTCCAAAGCAACCTAGTTAAAAAGGGGGGTTAGGGGGTTAAAAAACAGTAAACAAAAAAAGAAACAAAGAGCAAGATAGAAAAAGAACCTAACAATAACCTTCAATTTTTTTTTCCATGTCATGTTCAGCATGTATCTCGCCTGTAATCACTCATCAATCCCCGGCCCGCCAGCCTCTGATGCGCCGTCTGACATCACCGGCTGGCCCGGCTTAAACTTCCAGCATCTTCCACTGCGACACCCCGACGCCGCAACACCTCTGCAACGTCCCGACGCCCGCTTCATTCACACCTTGGTCAACGACGCATCTACATCATCACTTACAAAATAAAACGCCCGGAATGGACTACGTCCAGCAACGAATGACCGACGAGGCGGCCAAAGGGCCAGCCAGGTACGCGCCTGTTTCCGCACCCGACTATCCGTACCTGTTCCATCTAATCAATCTTTCCCTCTCCAGTGACTCCCTCCTCACCCCCCTCAACCTCATCCTCGTCTCCGTCGTCGTCTACGCCGTATACACGGTCTTCCGCGCCCCCGCCAAACATGATCTGCCCAAACCTCCGCCGGCCGTCGTCTTTCGAACCTACACCCCGCGCACTCTACTGCCCCTCAACGGCGAGAACGGCAACCCTGTCTTCATGGCCGTCCGCGGCAGGGTTTTTGACGTTACCAGCGGTCGCAACTTTTACGGCCCCGGCGGCCCCTACGCCAACTTTGCCGGCCGCGACGCCAGCCGCGGCCTGGCCAGCCACAGCTTCGACGAGGACATGCTGACCAAGGACCTCGACGGCCCGTTGGACCCCCTGCAGGACCTCGACGCCGAGCAGATCGAGGCCCTCGAGGGTTGGGAGGCCCGTTTCAGCGAAAAGTACGAGGTGGTTGGCCGGTTGGTGTCCGTGGCCGACTTCAATGCGGACAAGTGAGATGCGAGAAATACAACATGATAGCATAATCAAGATTTACATGATCAACACCGATCAATTCAGTAGCGCCATCCTGGCATCATTGTTCAGCACCGAGCCGCATGCGCATTAACAACCCAACCCAGATGGTACCGTCCTTTTTTTTAACCTCCAGCGGCGCAACCGACTCGAACCCGATATCGTGGTAGTATCTGCCCAGTAAGCTTCTGCACATCAGATCGTAGCATAGACATACTGCACCAGCTTTCCGTCGCCGCCGGACCAGCAATCGACATATACGTTACGGGCGCCCATCTCCTTCGTATGCTGCTTCACGTGTTCTATAAGGGCAACACCCGCGCCCTTCCGCTGGAATTTCTGTACGCGCTGGTCTGCGATCAGCACATCAACATAGGAAAAGCCGCCCGGTAAGCTCTCTGCTTCGTCCACGTAGGGACTCAGAGCGCTGAGAGACGACACGTGCTGCGAAAATTGTCCTTCTCGGATAGTGATGAATGCGATCGGAGTCTGCGACGCATCCTCCGCAACGAAGCTACGGATGCGCTCGCCTTGACTTGTCAGGCGAAAGTGCTCCGACTGCGTCAGGTCATCGCGCGTCGAGTCGAGAAACCCTCCCTTTTCGGAAAAGAGCTCCGTTCCCCATTGGCCGTCGTTGCCGGCTGCAATGAGCACTGGAATGACCGAGTCAAAAGCCTCGATGATGAACTTTGCATCTTCCACAGTTGCCGGGCGGATTTGAAATGGCATGGTGATGTGAAAGCGATTTACGTGGCCTTTGACGCTAATAAGCAGCGTCTCACGACTTATCTAGCGGCCGCCCACTATGTATGACTACGTGTAGTACTGATGTACAGTCAAGCGATTTCAATGCAAATGCGCATCTGGGACTGTTGCCACCATTCCTAAGATAGCTTGCATGAGTATTTCCGTCGATTATGGAGCTTGTGACAAACACCACACCGGACGGGCGAAGCGCTTGTCTTGGGGCTTCATCTTAGTTATCCTCCAGGAAGCACATGACTGAATTGGTACCTACGGAGTACAGGGCTGGCTGATTGCAATCGCTCTCAATTGAAGATGATGCCGAGTCCGTACGACGCTGTGCGCAAAGCGCAGACAACGCAGGAATCTGCAAATAAACTTGGCGATACCAATACGGCGAATGAATATTTCTAAAGCTGCCAGAAAAAAATCTCGAAAAGTAGTGATTCTGTACGTCGTTGTTCAGTTCACGTTGTATTGCCTCTGTACACGTGATTGCCTGCGCGTCACCGTCCCACCCGCTGCTGTGGAGGCTCCAAACGGGCCTGCCGGATTCCCGCCATCGCCATTCCGCATTCTGACTTCTGCATTGCGTCAATACGGTGACTTTCCGACATTGGCCACTATAGTCTAGTGAATACAATTTGGTGCCTATCACAGGACCGCCATGACAACACCCGCACCGCCCGAGGACCAGGCGCGTCTCCTAGAGGATGCCCTGGTCGCCGTTCGACAGCAGACGTCGCTCATGCGAAAATGTCTCGACACTCCTGGCAAGCTCATGGATGCGCTGAAGTGCTGGTGAGCATTCCCGAATTGCCGTCGCGAATTCAATACTAACCTGACAGCTCGACTCTCGTTTCGGAATTGCGAACCAGCAGCCTCGGCCCTAAGCAGTATTACGAGCTTTACATGTCCGTATTCGATGCCCTGCGCTACCTGTCCGTCCACCTCCGCGAAAACCACCCCGTCAACCACCTCGCCGACCTCTACGAGCTCGTACAGTATGCCGGCAACATTATTCCCCGCCTCTATCTCATGGTCACTGTCGGCACCGCCTACATGGGCATTGCAGATGCGCCGGTCAAGGAGCTCATGAAGGACATGATGGACATGAGCCGCGGCGTCCAGCAGCCTATCCGTGGTCTCTTCCTCCGATACTATCTGTCAGGACAGGCTAGGGATTTTCTTCCTACCACCGATAGCGACGGCCCGGAAGGCAACCTCGGCGACTCTATAAACTTTATCCTTACCAACTTTGTCGAGATGAACAAGCTCTGGGTTCGTCTGCAGCACCAAGGGCATTCTAGAGAAAGAGACCAGCGGATCCGAGAGCGAAAGGAGCTACAGCTTCTTGTGGGCAGCAATATTGTGCGCCTGAGCCAATTGGTTGATCTTGAGACTTACCAGTCCTCAATTCTCGGCCCGCTTCTGGAACAGGTTGTTCAGTGTCGCGATGTCCTGGCCCAAGAATATCTGCTAGAGGTCATCACTCAAGTATTTCCCGACGAGTACCACCTGCACACCCTTGATAAGTTTCTCGGCGCCGTCTCTCGCCTCAACCCCCACGTGAATGTCAAGTCCATTGTTATTGGCCTCATGGACAGGCTGTCCGATTTTGCCGAGCGCGAGACCTCGGCTGAGAAGTCGCCCGAGCAGGGGGGTCGCGAGTCCGAGGCACTCGCAAAACTGCTGGAAAACGCTAAGCTGAACGACATCAAGGGTGCTGATGGGACGGAGGCTGGAGGCGTGACTGAAGGCGAAGGCGAGGGATCCGAGGATAAAGATACGAATGGCGATACCGAAACCGAAACCGAGACAAATGTGCACAACGTGGCCACAGAGACGTCTAGTGAGGCAAAAACGATCGCTGATAGCAACGTGCAGCTCTATGAGGTGTTCTTTGCCCAGGTAAAAAATCTGGTCGAAGCGCAACATCTACCTATCCCCGACACCATCGCTCTGCTTGTTTCGTTGCAAAACCTGGCCCTCAACAACTACCCCGACCGCCTCGACTTTGTTGATCAGATTCTCGCCTACGCTGCCACTAAGACAAAGGAGAATATGAACAATGCTGACCTGCACTCTGTACCCGCGCAGCAAAGTCTGTTGGCCCTCTTGCAAGCGCCACTGGACCGCTACGTTTCAATCTTCACTGCCTTGTCTCTGCCAACATATGTGCCACTGTTCCGGGCTCAATCCTATCCTACTCGCCGTGCTGTTGCGGGAAACATTATTCGTACCCTCCTCAAAACCCAGACCAAGATCGTCAAGACGGAGCAAATGGAGAATGTGCTGGAAATCATGTCTGTTCTTATCAAAGAAGGAAACCAGGCCACGCAAGGTTATCCTGCCGCTCAGCGCCGTCCAGTAGAGACAGATGAGACGATGCAAGAGCAAGGCTTGCTGGCGAGAATGGTCCACCTGCTCCACGCCGAAGACAACGACACACAATTCAAGCTCATTCAACTGACGAGGAAAGCCTTTGCGGATGGTGGAGACCGCATTCGCACAACGACACCGCCGCTCATCACAGCCGGCCTGCGGCTCACACGAAAATTAAAAGCGAGGGAGGGGCTGGATGACAACTGGGAGACGCAAAGCAATGCCCTGTTTAAGTTTATGCATTCAGTGCTAAGCACTTTGTACACGCGCGTCAATGGATCTGGCGCATCCGAGATGGCTCTGCGATTGTTTTGCGCCGCCGGCCAGGCTGCCGATATGACGGGCTTCGAAGAGGCAGCCTATGAATTTTATGCGCAAGCGTTTACAGTGTATGAGGAAGCCGTGTCTGACTCCAAGGCACAGTTCCAGGCTGTCTGTGTCATTGCGTCGTCGCTGCACCAGACGCGCAACTTTGGCAAGGAGAACTACGATACCCTCATTACCAAGTGTGCTCAGCATGGAAGCAAGCTGCTGCGCAAGCCAGACCAGTGCCGTGCCGTGTATCTAGCTAGCCATTTGTGGTGGGCCAATATCATTCCCGCCAACAGAGAAACGGAAGAATCCGATGTAAGTCCTCTGACATGATTGATGTTGCTCATGCTGACCAAGCAGCTGTACCGAGACGGCAAGCGGGTGCTCGAGTGCCTCCAGCGGGCTCTGCGCGTGGCAGACTCGTGCATGGAGACGCATACGTCTATTGAGCTGTTTGTCGAGATTCTGGACCGCTACGTATACTACTTTGACCAGCAAAATGAGTCGGTAAGTCAAGTGCATCCCGCATACCTGCACTGTGCATGCACTAACAACCCAGGTCACCACGAAATATCTCAATGGACTCATCGAACTCATCCACTCCAACCTGGCTGGCAATCAGCAAGAGTCTGCCTCGATCGAGACGAGCAAAAAGCATTTCCATCAGACGCTGGATAATATCCGAAGCAGGCAATACGAGGGGGTGGTGTTGTATCCGAGTTAAGTGTACGATTAATCATGTCTGCAGATGTCGATTCATCTCAGATGTCCTGCATTGTAATTATCTCAGATATCCCGCATTGTAAATTCACAAGTTCTGTCCAATTCTGCGCGTGTCCAATGAGGTCCAGTAAGGTCCAATGAGTGCATTGCGCTGCGGCTTGGCGACTGTCCCAGTCCACGCGGCTCAGGGGCCACTAAAGTCGGGGCTGAGCAGCGTCACGGCCAAACCATGGGGGTCGTAATCAATGACCATCCTACAACGTCGGCGGCCCATCATTTTTCTATCTATCCCTTTAATTCGGTACCTTGTCTTGACCTTCCTTGCACGCATTTTCTTTGTTTCTTTTCCTTTCGACCGCCTCGCTCCGTCCTCTGCACCCCCATACCTGACCTGTTTCAGAAGCGGCCTCGGCACCTGTCACGCACGCACCGTGGGGACACGATAGATGGCCTTGCGCAGCGAACATGCCTTCGGAAAAGGTGCCCTTTTACGACCCTACGCCGCCGAGCTACGATGAGGCCCTCGCCGGCGGCAGTCGATGGGTGCCGCCCGCCCGCGATACCGCCGACCAGCGCGGCGCCACACAGACGGAGCAGCAGTCGCTGCTGCGGCAGCCCGGCAATGGCGAGTCATCCCGCAGGACCGGCTACCACGCGCCGACGGTCGAGACCGACGACGAGTCTGAAAACGACGATGGCCTGCTCAGCGACGACGACTCCGAGGAGGAGCAGGTCCGCCGCGAGATTGAGGAGATGGACATGGAGGAGCCCGACCGCTCCCTGAGCTCGACGTGGCGCAAGCGACTGCGGATTCCCTCGTGGAAGTGGTCCTGGCGACCGAGATTACCGCGCCTGCGCATACAGCTTCCATCCCGGCCGGCCGACGGCGATACCCAGACCCAGACGACCCAGAGCGAAGAGCCGTCCGCCGGCTCCGGTCCCCGTTTCAACTTGGACAACTTTCAAATACCCAAGGTCAACACCATGTTCCTAGTCCTGACCTTTGCGCGCATCCTCGCCATCTTCATCATTATCGGCTTCTTCTGGTTTCTCTTCACCAGTGGCCTCTTTTCAGGCCTCAACTCGCCCCTCACGAGCGGCATGCGCTTCAACGCCGAGGACCTGCGCAACTTTTTACAGCAGCGCGTCGAGCCCATGCGTATGCGGGCATCGGTTCAACACTACTCGAGCTACGCGCACCTCGCCGGCACCGAGGGTGACTACGCGGCCGCGCGCGACGTTTACGCCATGTTCAGCAAGGCCGGGCTCGACCGGGTGACCATGGAGGAGTACTTTGTATATATAAACTACCCCCGCCAGGACGGCCGCAACGTGCAGCTCCTCGACGGCAGCGGTACGGCCACCTGGACGGCCAAGCTGGACGAGGACGAGCACCACCATGAGACGGCCGGCCGGCAGACGTACGCGTTCCACGCGCATTCGAAATCAGGCGATGTGCGAGGACCGCTCATTTACGTCAACTACGGCTCGAAAGCAGACTACGAAAAAATAAAAAAGGATGGAATCAAGACTGAGGGTGCGATTGCGCTGGTTCGGAATGGCGGCACCGAAAAGAGCACCGCGTTGAAAGTGAAGTTGGCAGAGATGCATGGCTTTGTCGGTGCTCTTGTATACAACGACCCGAAGGAGGATGGCTTTTCCCTTGGCGACGTCGCTCCTCAGGGGAGGTTCCTTCCTGCCGATGGGGTGCATGGCGATTCCGTCAGCCTGATGAACTGGATCCTGGGCGACGTGCTCACCCCGCAGTGGGAGAGCGAAGAGCAAGCACCGCGCGTCAAGGTGAGCGATGCCGTTGGGCTAGTGCAGATTCCTAGTCTGCCGCTCGCATGGCGAGACGCGCAGCCGCTGCTGCAAAGCCTCAAAGGCCACGGCCAAAAGGTGCATCCCGACTGGACCGGCGCGGTGCCCGACGTGGAGTGGTGGACGGGCGACGGGAGCTCGCCCACTGTGCGTCTACAAAACGAGCAGGATGAGGTGGAGAAGCAAAAGATTTGGAATGTATATGGGCGGATCGAAGGGATGGAGACGGCGTCCAAGTCGATCCTCATTGGCAACCACCGCGACTCGATGGGGTTCGGCGCGAGCAACCCGCACACGGGTACCGCTGTCATGATTGAGCTGGCGCGCATTTTCGGTGACCTGGTCGACCGGGGGTGGAAGCCGCTGCGCAGCATCGAATTCATGTCGTGGGACGCGTCCGAGTACAACTTGATTGGGTCGACTGAATTTGTCGAAAAGAACCTGGACCGGCTCAAAAAGGACGCGTACGCCTACATTGACCTGAGCGATGCGGTCACGGGCACGAGCTTCAAGGCCGCAGGGTCGCCGCTCCTGGAACGCGCGCTGCTGCACGCGCTCAGCCGCGTTGTCGACCCCGGGGCCAACGAGACGCTCAAGACGCTGTGGGACCGCGCCAACACGCAGCTCCTGGACCTGAGCACCGGCGCGGCGCCGAGCGACTACATCCCGTTTCAGGACGTGGCGGGGACGAGCTCGATGCACCTGGGCTTCGCGTCGGCAGAGGACGCGGCGTACCCGTACCGCTCGAGCTACGACACGTTCGAGCTGGTGGACCAGGTGGTGGACCCGGGGTTCGTGTACCATGGGCTGCTAGGCCAGGTCGTGGGCCTGCTGCTGCTCGACCTGGCGGACCGGGCCATTCTGCCGTTTGACACGAAGCGCTACGGCGACAAGCTGCAGACGTGGCTGGGGAACCTGGAGACGTGGTCGCGGAACCGCGGTGCGGGAGACAGGCTGTCGTTTGAGGAGCTCAAGGACGCGGCGGGCATGGTTCAGCATAACGCAGAAAAGTTTGGCCAGTGGGAGCTCGAGTGGGACTCGGCCGTGCTGGCGAGTAACGGATGGGAGTCGAATGAGTATGGCGCGGCGCGGACAGAGTACAATGACAAGATGGCGCAGTTTGAGACGGCGCTTCTAGATCCAGATTTTGGCGGTGGGGTACGTTCTTTTCCCTACTTCTTTCTATTCCCCCCTCTATTTTCCTTGCTCTCTATTTATTTCTTGATACGCATACCTCCAGTGGCTCATGCATTTGTCATGCTAACTTGCTGCAGATACCCAACCGCACACAGTTCAAACACATCGTCTTTGGCCCGCCACTCCTTTCCACCAATGACGAGGCGCTATTCCCGGCGATCCGCGACCTGATTGAGGCCGAGGACTGGACAGGAGCCAAGGACGTCATGGCCAAGACGGCCGCCCTGCTGCGGCATGCGGGGGCGCTGCTGTCCATGTCCATGTCGTAGCTTATGTATTCTACGCGGGCATTCATTCATGGAGTTTTGGTCTATATTCTTTGTAATTGATTATTTCATTGTCATGCTATCTCAACGCCGGCCTTTACGGCGAATGCAACCGTGGTGTCTGTCTAAAACCCCAACGCAGGCTTTGTAACATCAAGCCCGCCCCAAACCAAAATGCGCAATATGCAACTCATGCCCCATCTCGTACCGTGACGCCGTGCTCGCAAAACTACCACTTGAGCACCTTTTGCGGGAAAAACTCGTCAATCAGCTCCATGTAGTAGGGCTTGAGCTCATCCACACTCGGCACGTCGTCGCTCTTGCTGTAGAGGTCGTACGGGTTAAACGCCTGGACGGCCTTGAGCATGTCCCAGTCTTTGGGGGCCATGAGCTCGCGGTACGCGCCCTCGCGGTGCCAGGGGTAGAAGGAGTGGTAGCGGATCATGGCGAGGGCCTCGTCAGGCAGGGTGGACTGGTCGCGCAGGACGTGGTACAGGTACTCGTCGTGGCCCCAGCTGAGCATGACGTTGTCGAGGCCGCAGCCGGGGGCGTAGATGCCGAGCGGCGAGGCGTAGACGGGGTCGCGGGTGTCCGGGTTAGCGGCAAAGGTGCTCGCGGCGAGCACGATGCGGGGGTCAAACGCGCACCCGACGGGGAAGGTGTCGCCGACGACGTCCCACTGGCCCTGGGTGCCGAGGGCGTCAAAGAAGAGCATGAGCTTGCCGAGGTCGTGGACGAGCCCGGTGGCCTGCATCCAGCGGGGCTTGCCGTCGCGGCGGATGGCCTCGGCCGACTGCAGCAGGTGCCCAATCTGCGACAGCGACGTGTCCGGGTCCGACTCGTCGACGAGCGTGTCGAGCTTCTCCATGGCCTGCCAGACGGTGAGCTCGGGGCGCGCCCGCGACGAGGCGTGGAAGCGGTTGCGCGCCGCGAGGTTGTACGCGACCGTCTGCTTGGCGTGCTGCTCCGCGTAAAAGAGCCGGACCCGGTCGCACGCCGTCTCGTACTGCCGAAACGCCGTCTTGTCCTTGGCCGTGTCGAACTGCGAGGCCGCGTCGTACTTGAGGGCGTTGACGGCGTCGACGGCGTCGGACACGTCTTCGAGCGCCTGGCCGCCGGCTTTGGCGGCCGCTAGAGGAGGAGGCGAGTCTTGGAGTGCGCTGGGGGCCATGGCGAAGGGAGGAAGGAAGCAGGAGGATGAAGGGGGTTGATGTGAAGATGATGGGATGGGCTTGGAGAGATGAAAGGGAGGACTTTATATCGCAAACGCTTCACTTGGTGAGCGGCAAACGCGCACTACCCCCAAACAGGGCATTCGATGTCACTTGGCGCATATTCGTTATCGAGTTTACATGATCGCTCCATCGACGGGTGTTTGCAGATGGATGCAATCCTCGGCGGGTATTTCTCAAAGCGGAGATTCTCGTCAAGCTAGCGCCGAAAGTTGCCTCGAACCCACAGCGGGGACCGGCGCGTATTACTGGAACAGGGAATTTCTTAAATCTCTGTAGGGAACCGCTGGAAGCCCTTTTTTCACTTTTTCCAGTTAAACCCCCACGGTTGTTTGCATGGGCCCCCAAACATACATACGGCCGCCCGCTTCGTGATCAGCTGCTCGGACCGGCTGACCTCGCCCGGCCAGCCCGCTGCGCCGGTTTCTATTTTTTGTCTCGGTGAAGCGTTTGTCAAACTCGGACAGTTGGGTGAGTGGGGAGGCGCAAAGTCATCGCGGCGAGAATGTCGTGCAGGGTCTGCATGGTCGTCGGGAATAACTTCCGCGGGTTCCAGAAAGTGCTACTGGCCGCCGAGACTTGCCACGCTGCGGCAATCTAGCCGCGCCAGTTCCAGACTCATCTGTCTGCCGTCACTGCCCAACATCGGCTGTGTCGTGCGGGGAAGTTGGCACTTTTGCTACGGATAGAAATGCGGTAGATGCATCCGCGGCCGCTTGGTAAAAATGGAGGGCGTCTTGCCTTGAAATGGAAATGAAAGAAAATGGGTTGCTCATGTCATGTCGCGGGCCGTATGCTGAGCTTAGGCACAGAGATGAACGCCAGCTCTTGTCTGTCGCATCGTGAGGTTGCAGCCTTCTATTCATCGAACCAAGCAGTCAATTGGCTGCTGCACATCTACCTTGGGGCTTACATGTCGACCGCACCGTTGCTCAGCACTGCGTCATCAGTAACATTGATAGATTTTGTTAATGCCATGCGCAACCTTGCTCTCAGAAAAGCCGCGCTATACTTTCCACCACGGCCCTTTCTACGCTCGCCGCCACCCGCATCCCAACAGGCAGGTCCGTGTACTCGCTCCCACGTCGTCGATCCCGCGATGAGCTTGGGATATACTTGGCTTTCTGGGGTTTAATACTCGCCATGTTTCTGCCGAATGTCTACACGGAATAGGATATAGCGAATAGACTTGCTACCCTGTAGTGTTGAGTGGTGTTCACTTTGCCGTACCAGAGAGCAGGCATCAGCGTCCAGTCGAGCAGAAGAAGCCAGCCAGCCGAGCATGGTAATTGGTCGTAGTTTTGTAGGCTGCCTGTACCGAGTCAAGTAGCGAGGTGCTTGTGCCTTTCGTTTCTCATTCCCTTTCTAACTACTTCCTATCCATGGCGGAAAGGCCGGGCCAGAAATACGGCGGCCGTAGTGGACGCTTTCAGGCAGTCCATGGAAGGCACTGAGAACGACAGCGACTGTGGGATGATTCCTTTTCGACAAATTACCCAAATTACCTGAACTAACAACATATTCTCTGATCGCGTGCCCGCTTGCGTCATGGATGATGAATACCGTCATAGCATATCTGGAGCCCCACACATCTTTGCTGACTTTTTGACGGGTTCGACTACAGATTGCCTTGGCTGTTTCCAGGTTAGATGTTCTAAGGTAACTACCTGGTTGGAAGGAGGCCCGAAATTTGCAGGACACGATTTGAAATTTACAGGACAATTTGTGGGCGCCACAGGCTAATCAGAACAAAGAGAGTAAGGTAGAAGTATCCCTCTCTAAATCCTAACAGAAAGACTAGTTACCACAAACGCATATAAAATACCTACATAGTATACTTTAGAGGGCGCTTTAAGTACACTTTTTTACTCACGCTCTAGGGGCTCTAGGGGCTTTAAAAGTGCCTAAGAGTGCCTCTAAAAGTGCCTTTTACGTGCCTCTTATCGCTGCCAGGTAGGTACCTATAAGTGCCTCTAAATGTGGAGAGAAGAATTTGTTAGAGGGTACATGGTCTTTCGTATGGTGTCCTGCAAATTCCAAAATGCGTCCTGTAAATTTCGGGCCTCAGTTGGCAGGGGGTTTCTTCCCTTTCCCATTCCTTTTTTACTGACAGGGGGGTCTAATGTAGTTACACATTGAAACAACAACCACCGACTCTATCCTCGAACCAACTTGCTCTCCTCCCGACTCCGCCGCACCAATCACGGTCGTCGTGCATGCATGCGCCGAGTCCGACTATGCTTCCCCTCGTCCGATCCCTCGCTAGCACGCCCTGCTGGCCCCAACACAAGCAGTTCCGCCGCACGCTCATCATCGCCGTCGTCGCCCTCGCCTGCCTCGCGCTGCTACAGGCGCGCTGGCACGACATTGCGCTCCTGCGCGGCAGCAAACCCGCCGCCAAACTCGCCGGGTACCCTGTCGCCGTCATCGAGAACGACGACGCGCCACGCACCATGGTCACGGCTAGCGCCTTCCGCCCTGTCGCATACCCCGCCGGCCACAACAAGACGCTCGCCGAGCTCTGTGCCAGCTTCCCGCGGCACCTGCTCGCGACGGTGCAGCCCGTGCTCAAGACGGGCTTCACCGACGCGCCCGGCCGCCTGCTGTCCCAGATGGAGAGCTGCAGCGCCTGCTTCGCGCCGGGCGACCTGCTCGTCTTCTCCGACCTCGACGACGTGTACCGCGGCCACGAGGTCATTGACCTGCTCGCCACCCTGCCGGCCGCGTACCACGCGTACGAGCAGTTTGCGCCGTACTTTGAGCAGAAGCGCCTGCGCGACAGCGGCGAAGCGGCCGCCAACCCGGACGCGCTCGGCGCCATTAACGGCTGGAAGCTGGACAAGTTCAAGTTCCTGCCGCAGGTGGAAAAGGCTTGGGAGATGAAGCCCAACCGCGACTTTTATGTGTTTTACGAGACGGATACGTGAGTGCGCTCGTTCTCCGGCAGCTGCAACCTCGTAACTAGCTACTAACGGCTTGCACAGCTACGTCTTTTGGGATCCTCTACTCCGCTTCCTCGACACCCTCGACCCGGACACCCCGTTGTACCTGGGCTCCGCCTCGCCAGGCCGGCAAGACGAGATCGGACGGGACACGTGGTTTGCCAACGGCGGCCCCGGCTATGTGCTGAGCCGCGCGGCGGTCCAGAAGCTGCTCCATCGGCGCGTCAGCCCGACGGGCGTCTATATCGACCCCCCGTTCGCCGAGAAGCATCGGCACCTCTTGCACGACCTCGAGTGCTGCGGTGACAGCGCCCTGGGATACGCGTTGTGGCAGAGCGGCATCCAGTTGCAGGCGCTGTACCCCATGTTTTCGCAGCACCCGTTGCACCACACGCCGTTCGACGCGATGCGCTGGTGCTCGCCGCTCCTGACCATGCACAAGTCCAGCTTCGACGACATGCGCGCCGTGTTCCAGTGGGAATTCACGGCCCGCTCAAACGACGTACGTGGTTACTTTGCGCGCCGCCTAATGTAAACCGTGACTAACAAAAAACTTTGTAGTATGCCATGCGCCATCGCGATCTATGGGAGTTCAACAACCCCGGGAGCGAATCGCGGCGCGCCGACTGGCGCAACGATGATCGGTTCGGACGCAAGGTGGAGGGCGACGTGGTCATTGACACGCAGGCGGCATGCGAGGCGCACTGCCGGTCGCTCGAGGCATGCCTCATGTGGATGTGGCACGGCGACGACGTCGACGAGTGCTTTGTGAGCGAGGACGTGCTGCTCTACGGGCAAGAGGCCAGGCCCGAGTCGGTGGATGACCGGCGGCAGGCCAGCTACACGTCGGGATGGATCGTGGACAGGGTCAAGGAGTGGAAAGCCCGGCACGAGTGCAACGACACGCTCTGGCTGTCGCACAGCTTTGCGCGCATATTTTGACGGCCGGGGGAGATGAATAGATGAATGAGGGAAACTACAAATTAGGCTACATTGGACGCATATACCCTGTACTATAGAATAGACAATAGCTAAGAGATGGGAATAGTTGGATGGTTAGGTTATTTAGAATATTCCAATTTTCAAGCATGACAAGGAAGCGCGCTCAAGCTAACAAAGAGACAAGTGTGCGCTGCGCGGCTATCCCCGTGGAGCTTGCATATGCAGTGAGCGCTGGTCGCTGGCCGCGGGCTTTTCTTTTTGAAATCTTCTTTTTCAATTTTTACCCCCGACAGTAGCGGAGCGACGGGAGAAGATTTATTGAATGAGGCTCTAAGGGATGGAAATGCGGCTCGCGGATCTGAGGCGGGCCAGGCGATATATGCTTATTATTACGCGTGGGTGTGACGGACGCCGCGTGGAGGCAGGGCTGACCTACGGAGTCGCTCTGATTACAGCCTAACTGGTGCAGAAACGCCTTTTTGATTGAGTGGCTTTGGCGGGTCGCCACGGAAGCAAGGGATGAGCGGAGTGCTGAATGAAGGTGTTGAAAACGGCCCCCAGCTGACAAAAGGCTCCAGGATAATAGTAGCCAGGCGCTATTGGGCAAGGAGCAGAGAAAGGTGGACAGGTGACTTTCTCTCTCTGCGAAACAGGACAAGGGCCGGAGTTGACAGCCTGACAACCTAGTTATGTATAGATAGGAGAAGAGGACTTGTCTCACGATGTTGCTCGCTAAAAATGACACGCGAGTCTCCCCTGTTCTGTTACATATGTAGATGGCGACCCCTGACCTTGTCTAACTAGGTACGAATTGGTTACCTGTAGCTCGCGAACCAGTCGATTAACCCATTCTCACTTGCAATTTGTTGAGCAACTTATTAACCAGGAATACGTGTTCGCAAGGTCCTGTCTCCGCTGAGGAGCCGGAACAAGTTTCTGCTCACAAAAAAAGGACCTCCCCTGAGCTCTTGATTGCATAAAGTCCGTGGGGGCCATGTGGCTCACACTAAACCACGGCTCCAGAAAGATGTTGTCGATGCTACCCTCCCTTTCTAAGTTGACCCCCCCAGCGGAGCAAGCCATAGCCGATCTTGGTGCCTGTACTGTTTTCTCTTTGGTGAACCAGGGTCCAGTCAAGTCGGATGAACCCGAGTTCTGAGGCGCATCCTTGCGCTCCGCGGTCAATAGCCCGTTCTAGCCAGCGGGCATGAGATTATAATGGGTTGTCTCCAATCCACCCGCCCCTGCTCTGGCCTTTCTTCTTCTTCCCCCATCCATGGTCCTGTTTTTTGTGCCGCTGCGGAGATGATATAATCAGCTGAGCGCCGTCTTGGGTGGTTTTTTGTTCGTCTTCTTGTCTTGGCCGACTGACTAGCTGCGATTTTGACAAGTCGTATTACTGATCCGACGGGTCCCAGGGCAGGACAGCAAACAAGAAAGAAGAGAGACTCGCTACAATGATTGTACCGCGAGAACTCGAAACGCCATTCAACAAGTCGCCGCTGGTGCGGGCGGTGACGGCGTTTCTCATGGTCTTTAGCATCCTCGCCGTCATCACCCGCATCGCCACGAGGCTGCTGACGGCCGGCAGCTTGAAGCTCGACGACCACACGGTGATTGCTGCGACAGTACGTTTTTTTTTGGCGAGGTTGGGTGGAATAGAAAAAAAAGGAGAGGCAAAGCTAACATGGGATTGAACTAGGCGCTGGCCGTTGCGCAGTCGGTGGTGGTCATCATGGCTGCTGCCAATGGGCTTGGTCGGCATGATGACACGCTCAGCGCTGGTCAGATTTCGTATATCCTCAAGGTATGTCCTGTTCAGAGGCAAAACTACAAAAATACTCGTCAATGCATCCTGCTGACGTCTCCAAACAGTGCATCTACGCGGCCAATGTCTTGTACATTGTGACCCTGGCCGTCACCAAAATCTCAGCATGCCTGACCGTCATGAACGTTGCGCCGCTCAACCGCCGGCGAGGCTCCTTTGCCGTCATGGGCGTGATTGCGCTGTGGGCGGTCTCGGCCGTCGTCACCGTCCTGTTCCAGTGTCAAGTCTCTGCGCCGTGGAACTTTGTCTCTGGGAAGTGCATCAATATGGTATGGCCAGTTTGGAATACACATCTTGGTACTGAAAGCTGACGTTTACCTGCTAGCCTGCCTTTTGGACGTACTTTGAGATTATGAACATCGCTACGGACCTCGCCACGATCGTGGCCATTGTCGAGTTGGTGTGGAATATCCAGGCGCAAAAGTCGATGAAGACGCTTGTCATCTTTATCTTTGGCAGCCGTGTCATGTACGTCTACGACACACGTTGAAAACGTACAAAAAACTAACACGCCGACCAGTATTGTACCAGCCGCCATATGCCTCATCGTCTACCTGCACAAGGCAGCCGACGACTTCGCCGCCACCGGCGACACGTTTGTCTTGTGGCCGCCCGTCATTATCCGGCAGGTGGTGCAGTGCCTGAGCATGGCGACGGCGTGCGTGCCGTACCTCAAGCCGTTCCTGGACAACCTCGAGTCGGGCCAGATGCGGGCCGGCGACGCCCTGCTGTACGTCAAGTCCGGGTCGGGCAACAGCGGCAACAAGAGCGCGCGCAAGAAGACGACGGGGGCGGCGGGCTCGCAGCAGCCGGGGGCGGCGTCGTCGTCGAGCCGCAGCCGGACGACGCACCACCGGCCGTACGAGCTGGCGGACATGACGAGCAGCAGCAAAAAGGGCGCGACAAAGGCCACGACCACGACGATTGTGCATGAGGAAGCCCAACCGTCGTGGGACGGCCAGAGCCAGTCGAGCCAGACGGTGCTGGTGCAGCAGTCGTGGCGCGTCGACGTCGAGGCGAGGCCCAATTCCGAGGTGGAACGATGACGACGTGGACATAGTAGCGCATAAAATAGAAATAATGTAATGGAAAGCAATGCAGCGAGCATAATAAATGCAAACACCGTGCGGTTATGGTTGTCCTGATACTCTTGTCTGATGGGCGGGACCCTGTTTCGCGCAGGCCTGGACTTTTTGTTTGTCGCTGTTTTCGGCGGTCAAGTCATTGATCTTAATCCTTTTTTTTTTTTACTTTTCTTTTCCTTTCCTTTCCCTTTTCTTTTCGTTTGTCGCGCAAAGGCTTGCCGACTTGTTCTCTCGCCTCCAACCGCCCACACGTGCCCTCTTGCCCTACGCACTCTCTAATAGCGGGCAATGATGGGGACGATGGGACCTGTGAATAATAAAAGGGGCGGATTCGAGAATCCATCTGAGAAAAGAGTCCCAGTCTCTTGAAGCGTTTTTGGTGGCTTGGTGGCGCAAAGGGGGCCGGTCCGGCGGCGCCAAGATCTTTTCTGCAACGGGAACAAGTGGGGGGCCAAAAGAGCTTTTTTCTCTTCCATGAAACTCGAGATTAAACAAGAGGCTAGTTTTGTCTGTCTCCCCCATCCTCACAGTGGGGGTGTAGTCTAACTATAACGATATCCACACGAAAAGCGATGAAGCATTGGACCCCAGTCTCGGGGGCACTTTTGCCAAACGTCGTGCTTGGTCGAGTCGATTTGGAATGACTCGAGCCCAGCGACCGCCAACGCCCAATCGCGATCGAAAGATGTGCTTTGTCGGCGCAACTCCCTCGCCTCGGAACGCCTCTCCATCATCGGACGGCTGGTGGAGAGAGGATAACTCAACAGCCCATGGCGACAGGTGGTTCGCAAACGACTGTTGACCCCCCCTATCCTGGTCGGTAACATGGCGCATCCAGAGCGCGGGCAGGGGGGGTCTTCCGCGGCGGCGCACCTCTTGACGTTGCATGGAGTGTCCCCTCTCCACTGTCCTATGTATTCGTTGTCTTGCGCTTCGGGCTCATCTTGCATCGTTTCTAGAAGACTCATATAACGTCGAATCTCGCCCTGTTCCACACGACCAACACCAACACATCCATCGCCCTGTTCATCCGTTCATCCTCCAGTTCCTGTTGGCGACAAACCTCCCACCATGAGCCGCACCCCGACGGAAAACCACGAGCTGCGGCAAGTGTCCCCGGCCGAAGGCCCTCACAAGAGCCTGCCGCGGGGCGACATGTCGCAGCGCGAGTACGAAGACCGCGTGCAGCTGATGCGTCTGGGCAAGAAGCCGGCCCTCAAGGTGCGTTGTTATTGCTTCTTCGGGGGATTTCTTTTGCAAAAAAAAAAAAAAAAAAAGAACTAACATGCAAAATCCGCAGCGCAACTTTAGCTTCCTCACCATCCTCGGCTTCAGCTGCGCCGTGCTCGTCACCTGGGAGGGCACGCTGATGAGCTTCTCGCCGGGGCTGGACAACGGCGGGCCGGCCGGGCTCGTCTACGGCTTCCTCTTCGTGTGGGCCGGCAACCTGACCGTCTTCTCGACGCTGTGCGAGCTCGTGTCCATGGCGCCGACCTCGGGCGGCCAGTACCACTGGGTGTCCATGCTCGCGCCGCGCGCCGCCGCCAACTTTCTCAGCTACATGACCGGCTGGCTGACCGTCGCCGGCTGGCAGGGCACCGCCGCCTCGGGCGCCTACCTCGCCGGCAGCATGCTGCAGGGCCTCGTCACCTTCACCATGCCTGCCTACGGCGGCCGCACCTGGCAGGGCACCCTCATCGTCTGGGCCGTCGTGCTCGTCGCCGTCTTCATCAACACCGTCGTCAGCTCCGCCCTGCCCAAGATTGAGGGCATGATCCTCGTCCTGCATATTGTCGGCTTCTTCGGCGTCCTCATCACCCTCCTCACCTTTGGCGCCCAAGGCGATGCCGACGACGTGTTTGCCACGTTTCGCAACGGCGGCGGCTGGCCGACCCAGGGACTCTCGTTCTTCGTCGGCCTGCTCGGGCTTATCTTTTCCTTTGCCGGTACGTTCTCTGTGAGCCTTTTGCCGTCAAGACGTGCTTGCTAATCCGTCGCGCAGGTGTCGACTGCTCGTTTCATGTAAGACTAGAGTGAATGCCACGGGAAGACCGAGGATAGCTGCATGACAGCCAGTGCTAATAGTCGATAGATGTGCGAAGAAGTCCAGAACCCGTCCGTCGCCGTCCCCCGCTCCATCATGGGCAGCCTCGTCATCAACGGCCTCATGGGGCTGTCCATGGTCATTGCCATGCTCTTCGCCGCCACCAACATTGAAGCCGCGCTGACCTCGGAAAGCGGCTACCCGTTCATCGAAATCTTCTTCCAGGCCACCGGCTCCCGCGTCGGCACCGCCGTCATGGCCTCGCTCATCATCTTCATGACCATTTCCGCCGTCGTCGGCGTCATCGCCACCACATCGCGCATGTTCTGGGCCTTTGCCCGCGACCGCGCCATGCCCGCCTGGCGCACCCTCTCCAAGGTATGTTCCACCGGTCAAGAGGGGACAACAAAGAGCTCACAAAACACCCACCCCAGGTTGACCAGACCACGCACGTCCCCGTCTGGGCCATTGGCGTCACCAGCCTCATCTCGTGCCTGCTCGCCCTCATCAACATTGGCTCCACCGTCGTGTACAACGCGCTCGTATCGCTGTCCATCTCCGGGCTCTACTCGTCCTACCTCATCGCCGCCTCGCTGCTGCTCTGGCGCCGCTGCACCAACGGCTTCGTCGCCGCCGACACGAGCGCCGCCGCCGCCGACGACAGCCGGCTCCTCGTCTGGGGACCGTGGCACGTGCCCGGCGTCGCCGGCGTCGTCAACAACGCCCTCGCCTGCGCGTACCTGCTCACCATGCTCTTCTTCAGCTTCTGGCCGCCCGCGCCCGTCCACGACGCCAAGGACATGAACTTTAGCGTGCTGATGACGGGATCCGTCGTCATCTTCAGCACCGTGTACTATCTGGTCTGGGCAAAGAAGGAATACAAGGGACCTATTCGCGAAGTATAACTGCGCCATGTCTGGCCGGCGCGCAGTGATTGCAACCACACGACACGCCATCTTGCGTGCCTCGATATTGCGACCTTCAATGTTGCAATTTGTGTATTTAACCCAGTATACCAGAGCGTCTCACGAGACGTTTTGAAATACTTGTAAATAATGTTCAATATAGCACCCATGTTCTGATATTATTACATCTCTTTTCATGCTCTTAGAGCCCCGCTGCCCCGTGGCAATATCGAAAGATACAGTTTCAAATACCGTATGCTCCGCCCTGTTCAAAGTATAATATAGTTACATATAATAATAATGATTAAACTATAGCGATGCAGGGCAAAGGAAACCCGCAGAACCATGTCAGCACGCAAGGCTGCCCCTTAAGTGAGTGGATTATTGGCAGCAAGGTCTTTCCTCGGGATTATACCGAGAACAGACGATTAGCACAGCTCGGACGAATCACATCTCTCACCATGCCAGGCTCTCAGAATGTCGAGATTGGCGTTGGCCATGTCTGTTTATTAAGGTCGCCATCTAGTTTATCCAAGATATCTAAAGAGCCTGCCCGCTCTTGCTCGCCACATAGAGTCGATAATAGTCGGCCTTGCGCGCCATGAGCTGCGCATGCGTGCCAGACTCGACAATTCGTCCATCACTCAGTACATAGATCTTATCCGCCTTGACAATTGTGCTGAGCCGGTGCGCAATCGTAATCGTGGTCCTGGCTCGCTTCATCTTCTCCAGGGCTTCCTGGATGATGGATTCCGACTGCGAATCAAGTGCCGACGTTGCCTCGTCCAACAGGAGAATTGTGGGCTTGCGCAACAGCGTTCGGGCCAGCACGATTCGCTGCTTCTGTCCTATGCTAAGCTGCACACCCTTGCTGCCCACCTCGGTATTGAGACCGTCGCTGTGGAATGTCAGTAAATGTACGTCATCGGGCACACCAGATCATCATCTGCATCAGAACTTACGGTAGACTGCTGATGAATTCGTAGATGAATGCTTCTTCGCAAGCCTGCTTGATTTCTTCGTCTGAAACCTTGGCATCATCGTCTATGCCGAGAACCAAATTGTCTCGGATCGTTCCGCGGTACAGATTCGGTACTTGACTGACAAGGCCGATGCAACTGCGGTACTTTGAAAGCTGGAGTGAGGTGACTGGCTTCGAGTCCACCAGGATGGAACCTTTCAGGGGATCGTAGAATCGCTCAATGAGAGACACAATAGTGCTCTTGCCAGACCCAGTCGTGCCAACAAAGGCAATGTTGGCGCCGGCCGGAATGGTAAAGCTCACGTTATCCAGCGCAAGGTTGTCAGGCCGTGACGGGTAAGCAAAGCTCACCGAGCTGAATTGAACATGGCCCTCTATGGCGCCTGGATCTGTACCGGCAACCGACGAAGGGTCTATCTCAGACTTTTGCGCCAACAGACGCTGAAGTGATGCAGCTGCCTGCTTGGCTTTGCCGATGTTTGGAGTCCAGGCAAAGACAAGACCGGCCGAGAAGGCGCTAAGAAGCATCGCCGACTGAATGGTAATGGCCTGAAATAGGGTGTACTCGCCACGCAGGATGAGCCGCCCGCCATACCAGAAGCTGACTGCCATGCAGGCATAGTACGCAGTCTGAGTGAGCGCGTAAAGAAATGACACCTTAAGATTAGAGATGAAAGCCTTGGACTCATTCGCTCCGAGGATGTCCTGAAAGATATGCAGGCTTTCCTCCTCGCGCGTGAGGGCAGCGATGGTCTGAATGCCTGCCAAGGTCTCGCCAGCAAACTCGGCAGCCTGGTGGGCAAACGTCTCGTTCATCTCTTCAAAGTCTGCGACGAGCAAAACACCAAAATAGCCACCACCCACCATCAGCGGCATAACCGCGAAGCAAACGAGAGCAAGCTTCCACCCTAGCGCAAACGAAATGACAATACCAGAAACCACAGTTGAGAAGCAGATCAAGATGATGCCTAGGGCGCTGCCACTGAGCCCGGTAATGTCGCCTGCTGAGCCAGACAAAAATCCGGAAATCGCACCAAAAGAGTTTTCTTCCTTGTCGAAGAAGGAAATATCCATCTTCAGGTAATGGTCTAGCGTCAAGTCCCGGACCCGGTTGGAGAGGTGCTGGGCTACGATCGCAAACGCGACTCCTTCCGCCACATTGCTGATCAGCATGATGAGAGCCAGCAAAAGGAACATCCAGGCATAAAACGCAGCATCGGAGCGAATGTTGTCTGCTTCGTCAAGAGGGCGGGCAAGAGCGGTGATGACCTTTCCGAAGAGCACGGCAGATACGGCTTCTTCTCCTCCAGCAATGATGCTTCCAAGAAGCCCAATAATCATCCAATGACTTTGGCGTTTGCTCAATCTAATCATGAACAGAATCATTGACCAGATCGAAGTAGACGTGGCAGAACGGTCACCCTCGGGACCTAAGACCTCTGGCGCGTGTTCAATGCCCTGTTCTGCCACTCCGTCTGTTGAAGGTCGATACTCGTAGGCGTCGTCAAAAGGATCCTGCTTATCGTGGTCTTGATCCTGTGCTTTGACTAGGCGGAAGTAGTGCGATTCGGCTGCCATGAGGTCATCGTGCTTGCCGCTTTCCACGACTCGTCCAGCATCGAGCACAATAATGTTGTCGGCGTGACGGATTGTGGACAGACGATGAGCAATGACGATAGTGGTTTGCTGCCTGTCACTCTCGGCCATAGTAGCGAGCAATCTGGCCTCGGTTTCACTGTCCAGTGCTGAGGTGGCCTCATCTAGAATGAGAATGCGCGGGGTATTGACTAGTGCTCGGGCAATGGCAATACGTTGAAGCTGACCCCCGGACAGCCTGGATCCACGAGATCCGACAATGGTATCATAGCCCTGAGGTAGCTTGTCGATGAACTCGCTGGCCTGTGCGACTCTCGCGGCTTGCTCGACAGCCTTTCGTCTCTCGGGTGGTGATAGATGACGACCTCGGTTACCAGTGAATCCCAACTCGATATTTTCGAATACAGACTTGTTGAACATGAAAGGCTCCTGCTTCACAACAGCCATTTGCTGTCTCAGCCAACCAATATTGTAGTCGGTCAAATTTCTGCCATCGAGTACAATTGATCCAGAAAGCGGGTCGTAAAATCGTAGAAGTAAATGTGCGATGGAGCTCTTGCCAGAACCAGAGTGCCCAACCAAGGCTGTCGTCTTTCCTGCTGGGAATTTAATGTTGACATTGTCAAGCACCGTGGTGGCTGGGCGGCACGGATATATGTGCCGTAAGTTGTGCAGCTCGATGACGGGACTGAAGTTATTCGGAGCAAGACCCTGGTCGGAGGAGGAATCGATGGGTGAGATCCGCTTGATCATGCGGGTGAGGCGGCGAGCGCCGGCGACAGCCAAAGAAAACGCTTCCACATTTGCACCGACTCCAAGAACGCAAAAGGCAGCGGCCTTGGAGACCATGGCAATCGTCACGACTGCTGTGAAACTAGAGCTCCCTTCTGTGATGCGACGTGCGCCTTGCCAAAAGGCCAATGCCACATTCACATAACCAGTGGTAACACAAATGGCGATCAAAATACCATTGATGGTGGTGATAAAGAAACCATATTTGGCTGACTGCTTCAAAAAGTTCATATATGTGTCGTGCACATATTTTTGAATTCCCAGCGACGTTGTCGTTTTGATAGAACTAAAGGCCTCCTCGATGACGCCAGAGCCAGAGGAAGAAGCTTCAATACTGCGCGTGCTGTACCGCACTGTGAGGACGCCACCGAGATACAGCACGACATAGCCGACGAAGAGTGACCAAATTAGCTCCAGCATCAAGATGGCATCAACGGCAAAGCAGACGGCCACAGTAGCGACCAGTGTGCCCAATGCGGCGATTGTTTGGGAGAGCTTGGAGGAGATGGCATTCTGCACCGCATTGGCATCATCCGTAAGCTGGGAGAGAATGCCGCCAATGCCATTGTCGTCGAAAATAGCCATGTTTTGTTTCAATGTGGCTGCAAAGAACCGGATTTTGATTCGACGGGCGATGCGCGCGCCAGTGTAGTTGAAGCCAGCCGTGGCAATGAACCACGTCACCAATGCGACCAGGACAATGTAGGCGTAGTACAACGTGTACCGGTTGAGGAGGGTCTCGGCATCCTGATCATGTCCTTCGGCTTTCGAAAAAGCTTTGATAATGCGTGAGCTGATGATCTGAAGACGAAGAGCGTATCTTGTTAGTAATTGAAGGATGCAGGTCAAGGCAGCTCTGAACAGGAAGTAGTACCGGAGTGATGGGGATGAGGGCGCCGGCAATGACTGCGCACAGAGCACTGATGGTGACGACAAGTACATCGACGGTGTCGGCAAATCGGTAAATGCCAAGGAAAGAAACATGACTCTCGTCGAAATGGAGTTGCTGCCCCAGAGCTGCATGCTCAACAGCGACGTGAGCTTCAAACGCCGGTGCGACTGCGGCTGCTATGGAGAGTCCCGATTGCGCAGGCGGAGCAATAGCAGCGGTGTCCTCGCCCCCGGCTGACGAGGGCGATTGCTTGTTATTCCCGCTACTCATTCTTCTATGCACATTGATCTTGGCCAATACTCTGGTAGCGAAACGGGATTGAGTGGCAGTTGGGTAGAGGTGGCAACCTCAAAATGCAGGACACGCGAGGACTGTACGGCGTTCTTGGAGGCTGCATCGGCCGCTCGCAAGATGCGACAAAATAAACATGACAGGGACAAGTGCAAACCCCGCACGAGGGATTGGTGGATTTGCGTGACAAGCCATGGCTTCCTGCGCCCGCAACGTTGGGCAGGGATTTGTGTGTATTGTGGTGTGAAGGACAGCTTCGGGGACATGCTGCGTGTGTTGTGTTGGGAGTGTAGTCAGCATGCCGGGGTAGTATGACAAGCAAGGTCTACCAGTACACAACACAACTCTAAACCTGTCATCGAGAATAATAACCTGGAGAGGTTTTGCTGTCTTTCATGAATTTTATGCAGTACGGAGCACTCTTTGGGGATCCGTACAGAGTATGCTTTGGCAAGTTTGCAAAATGCTGAGTCGACTTGCTGCATAGGTAGTCATGCGAGACATTGTCCACAGCCGCATTTGCCCTACGCGTGTTCTGACGGTTATTATACCGACGTACTGACAGGCTGACGCGCATGAGACACATAAAGATGCGCTATTTTGCACCATTATCCCGCTTAACGGGAAATCGCGACAGCAACGCCTGCTTAGGTGTGATAACTAGAAAGACTCGGCATTCGCTGAATATTGCATCATCAACAGGAGAATCATCATCATAAACATGACCCAAATTATCACTAAATACTGCGTGTTGTTTAAACGGCCTATAATTCACTGCAAGGCGTCGTGTACACCATCTCGGCAACCCTAAACTGCCAATCTTTTGTTGTGGCGGGGTTGAAGATCCTGTGGCGCCCGCTCTGACTACTTCGTTCATAGCCAGTAAGCAAGGCGCGGCCAAAATCTTGCAAGCGACAAGAACGACGCCATAACTACCTAAACTTTGGATCAAAGCCAGGCCGAGTAATCTTGCTTGGCCGGTTCGCCGGCTTGCCGCCTAGCGATGGACCTCACCATTCTGCACTTCAACGATGTGGTGGGTACAGGACTCCAAACGCGACGGGCAGAGAGCCATCGCTGATCAAGGACTGCAACTGCGTGCAGTATCACATATCCGATTCCGAATTAGTCGCGAAATTTGCTTCTGTCCTCGAAGACCCTAGCCTTGCCACTGGAGATGGTAATACCAGCAGCGGCCCCATCTTGCGCGTCTTCAGCGGCGATGCATTTTCGCCGTCCTTGGAAGCGGCTGTTTTGCGCGGCGATCACATGGCGCCACTGCTGGACGGTCTTGGTATAGATGTTGCGTGCTATGGGAATCACGATTTTGACTTTGGTGAAGACCGACTCGTGGAGCTTGTCAGCCAAACTCGCTTCCCTTGGACCCTTGCCAACGCAGTTGCGCCAACACACGACGCCAAGGGCGGTCGTCTTCTTGCTGGTGCCCACGAATACGTGGTGAAAGAAGTAGGCGGATACAAACTGGGATTTTTCGGCCTAGCTGGAACGTGAGCAACTATGAGTTCACCCTGTGTAGATGTCCTTGCTAACCCGGACAAGTGACTGGCCGTCTAACTGCCAACATCTGCCCGACTGTACAATCCTAGACCCCGCCACGGTCGCGAAACGAGTAGCTACCCGTCTACGACTGGAAGAAAGTTGCGACGTGGTTATTGCGGTTACCCACATGCGACTGGTAGAAGATCTTGAAACCCTTAACAGCACGCTGTCAGGCCCGGAGAGAATAGATCTGATTCTGGGCGGCCATGATCACTACGTTGTGCGCCGAGACCCCTCAGACGATAACGCCAACCCTGAAGTGCTTCAGTCTGGTCTTCATGAGCAGGGAGCTGCAATGACCGAATGTGATGGGGATTTCAGGATCATCAAAAGCGGCACCGACTGGAGAGGACTTTCTATCCTTCAGTTGCGACTTGGCAGCAAGGATGAAGGCGAGCGGACGATACTCGACATGTCTTGTGTGTGCAGACCCGACCATATTAACGACTATTGGAGCTTCTCGCTAATTTATCACTGCAGTGCGTCAAATCCGAGATTTGAAGAAAATTTCGAGTTACGAACAAATTCCCGCTTCCCAGGCAACGTTGGCTATCTTACAAGCAACACATGACAGGATCGAACAGGTGGTGACGCAACCATTATTTCGCACCGCATCACCTTTGGACGGAAGATCACACATCATTCGCAGCCAAGAAACAAACTTGGGCAACATGTTGGCTGATGCCGTCCGGGCGTTTTACGACACCGACATTGGCTTCGTGAACAGTGGTGCCGTACGTTGCGATCGCATTGTCGAGTGCGATGGCGACGCGCCTCTTTGCATTCGGGACGTCATTGAGATTAGCCCCTTTGACAATGCCTTTGTTGTCAAACGAGTCAGTGGCCGAGTTCTCTCCGAGGCCCTAGAAAATTCCGTCTCAGATGCCCACACTGACGGGAGATTTCTGCAGCTCTGCGGTCTTACCATGAGGCTGGACTGGAGGCGCCCAGAAGGATCCCGGGTCAGCGAGATATTGTTTCATCCGCGCCAAGGTAGAATTCAGCCGCTGGACGCAGATCGGATGTACACAGTCACCATGATTGACTTTATCGCGTCCGGGTTTGATGGATACACGTGCTTTCAGGACTGCGAGACCTTGGTCGATACCGAAGGCGCCATTACAGACACAAATATGCTGCTTGAAATATTCAAAGTGGGCAGAGAAGATGCGAGCGAGTCTGGGATTGCCGACCAGCATGCAGAAGGAATACAGAGGGCAAGGGCGGCGGTAATCACTGGTTATCACTCCGAAGATGCCCTTCCTATTGTGAATCCGGTGGTTGAAAGCCGCATCAAGGTCATGCATGAAGCCAATCTATAGAGTAAAACTGGAAATAGACGCTACAAAACCATTGTTTTCGTCTAGATTCGTGTTGAATGGCCCATGACTACGTTCCGGAGTAATTTGTACAGATTTCTGAGTACATATGCGAATATGTAGAACGTGTGCCAAATCAAGTACCTACGGCGTGCGTAGTCATCAAAAGTGTGTGTCAGCGCATGCGTCCCTCATGCCAGCAGATGTCACTGCTGAGTGGCCTCGTGGGAGGGGTTGAGCTAGGTGCATGATGCATATGCAACCACTTCAAAGGAGGAATTGGACTCACTTTGAACACCATTTCGAACTACCTGAACTTGTGTTGGTAAACCTACCTGTTAGCTGTCGAGCTGAACTAGGCGTTGTGCCGCACCTGCCACTGCCTGTGTAACCCTCAAACACTACGAGATGGCTTCTCGCCAAACGCAAAAAGCCTCCCTCTGGCAACATTGGGACGCGTGTCTCATTTTTGGCTCCGAAACGCAGCGGGAGACTTGCTCGAGCATCACGGCTCGGGGCGCCGTCACCCTCGAGTTTGCCGTGGACGAAAGTGCCTTGCTGGCTTTTCGGCAAAAGACGCCGGAAGCTGACTTACTTCAGCTCGCCTGGTGCATGGTCGTGGGGTTCTATGCCGGCTCGGAAGATGTTTGCACCGCCGTCTACGCGGACGGCGCCGAGAGACTTCTGAGATGCAAATTGGATCCGCAGAGGACAGCCACGGCCATAATCTCGTCTATTGAGCAAGCGCCCTTGCCAAACAGCGACGGCGGCTTCGATGATTCCGACGTTGAACGAGCGACCGAATTATTCGACACTGCCTTGTTCATCGTTCAACGAGGGTCGCCTGCAAAGTACGATGGTGCTGCCCGCCCGAACGGACCATTGCTGGTGGCAGAAGTGGACGCGGGGACAAGGTCCATATCAGTCTACTACCCAACAGCAATAGTCAGTGAGAAATGGGCACAGAGAGCGGCATCTCTCTTTGCGCGATGTGTTGAGCAAATAATAGCTTGTCCCGACCAACAACTCAGCGACCTCGATATACTGCCTCCCACCGAAGCGGAACAGATACAACAATGGAACGACAAAACCTTCGGGAGCTACAATGAGTGTATCCATCAGGTCATCCATAAAACGGCGCTGGATATGCCGGAGAAATCCGCGGTGTGCAGCTGGGATGGGAATTTTACGTACAGCGAGCTGGACTCTGTGTCCTCGCGAGTCGCATCCAGGCTGCACCAATTGGGAGTTGAAACGGGCGCCAATGTAGCCTTCTTCTTCAGCAAATCCAAATGGGCCGTGGTGGCAATGTTGGCAATTCTGAAATCCGGCGCTGCAGGAGTCCCTCTGAGCAAGGACTATCCGCATGCCAGAATGCATACCATCCTTGAGCTTACTGGCGCAGCTGTCCTTCTCCTCGGTCAGGATCTGGAGCATGAACTTGACATAATCGACAAGAAGATTTGCAAGCTAGTCATCGACGAAAGAAACTTCCCGACTGCTCCTACCGCGCAGAACGAAGAGCAACCTGCTCTTTTCGTGTCTACCTCTGTCCAATCTACCGATGCAGCCCATATCCAGTTTACGTCTGGTAGTACAGGTCAGCCCAAGGGCATCATCGTTGAGCACGGATCATATCTCGCCGTTCGATGTCACGAGATATTCGGCATCACAAAGGAGTCTCGTGTTCTTCAATTTGCTAGCTACACTTTTGACGCCATCCTCGACGAAGTATACTCTACGCTGATAGCCGGTGCCTGCATTTGCATTCCATCCGAAGAAGACCGTCTCAACAACCTTGCTGGCGCCATAACAGACATGCAAGTTACCTGGATGGGCATCACTCCGACACTGGCCCGCGTCATCAAACCAGAAGATGTGCCGAGTGTCAAGACACTCTGCACGTGGGGCGAAACTGCCACAACCGACATCATCACCGAATGGGCTGATGCGGTAGATTTGCGCAACGTCTACGGCCCATCGGAAACTTCAGGCACCACCACCGTTTATTCGTGGTCCAAAGGCATCAGAGATCCGACCATTTTAGGCAGAGCTATTCCCGAAACGATAGCTTGGGTTGTCCGCACTGACAACCGCACCCGTCTCGCTCCGATCGGTGCTATTGGCGAGTTGGTGCTTCAGGGGCCAACAGTGGCTCGAGGTTACCTCAACGACGAGTCTCGTACGGCCGCATCATTTGTAGATGCGGTTTCGTGGTTACCTCCTGGGTCCCAAAACCAGCGCGCATACTACACGGGCGATCTAGTGCGCTATAGAGACAATGGAGAACTGCAGTTTTGTGGACGTCATGATAACCAGGTTAAAATCAGAGGAAACCGCGTTGAACTAGGAGAGATTGAATACCGTATCAATCACAGCGATTCCTCCAATGTCATCGTTTCCGTCGTTGAGGTGATCCGTCCGCTCTATCGTCCGACACAGGAACATCTCGTTGCGTTCCTAAGCGATGTATCGAAAGGCGCCTCGACTATCGCGCCACAGCTACTTCCGTCTGAAGATGGGACTAGGACCAAACATGCTGAAATCGCAAAGAGATTGGCAAATCATTTGTCCAAGCATTTAATTCCTTCAGTGTATCTGCCCGTCAGCTTCATTCCGACGGCTGCATCAGGGAAAGCTGCCCGAAAGGTCTTGAGGTCCATGGCTGAAGCACTTTCCGAGCGACAGCTGCAAAGCTATTCGCTGGATGCATGCCAAAAAACCGAAGAACCCTTGAGGTCTAAGAGGCGGGAAGAGGCAATCATGATCAGCCTGTGGGCCGACATTTTGAAGTTAGATGCGCATGACATTACCTCGGAATCCAACTTCTTCTGGTTGGGCGGAAACTCCATCCTCGCCATGAAGCTAGCCATTGCCGCCCGAAAACGGGGACTAGAAGCCACAGTCGCTCAGATATTGAACAACCCAAGTCTTGGTCAACTTGTCAATGTGGTATCTCAAGAAAGCCAAACCGAGCCTCAAACCAGCCGCAAGTTGGAGTACGAGCCTCTGTCCTCTTTATCCAGTATTTTTGCCGCCGATTTTCTGGAAAGAGTCGCGGCCCCTATGCTGGCTGTTGATGCGTCGCAGATTGAAGACTTGGCTTTGGCGACCGATTACCAGATCGAAAACTTGGCATGGTCCTCACTCAAGTCTCGCGGAGGAACCAACTTTCACACATTTGACTTTGCGACCGGTGTGGACGGCGGGAAACTCGAAGAAGCAATTCGCGCCCTTGTTGCCTACCACGCCATTCTACGAACAGTGTATTTTGTACATGGACGACGGGTCTATCAAGCGGCTTTGAAGCAATTGCCATTTGACATTTGCCACTGGCCTGGTGTGGACGATGCCGCCATGGCGACCTCGAAGCTAATGGAGATCGAGTCTCAACAGCCTTTGGACATTACACAGGCTTTAATCAAATTTTGGCTCCTTTACGACTCTGAAAGTAAAGCAAAACGTCTGGTATTCCGAGCCTCACATCTTCAGTATGACGGAGTCACGATTGGGAGGTGGTGGAAGGAGCTTGGCTTACTTCTCAGCGGCTCATCACTAGCTCCTGCGCCATCATACTTCAACTACATTAGCTTCGCCTCCAATCACGATGCTTCTGCGGCCAAGGAATTTTGGAGTGGACTACTCTCCGGTTCATCCATGACAAATGTCTTTCAACACGATGCGATCCCGTACAGGCATGTCTTGGATGGAGAAGTCACGAGGATGGTAGAAACCAGACTGCTTCAAGCCCATGCAGAAATCACCATAGGAACAATCATCAAAGCGGCATGGTCCTTGGTTTTGGCTGAGATGGCGGGCTCCAATGATGTGGTGTTTGGGTCTGTCATTGGGGGTCGTAACGCGCCGTTCCAGGGCGTAGAGCACGTCTCAGGCGCATGCATCAACAATATTCCAGTGCGCGTTCGTCTAGAACCTGGCATGACTCGGTTAGAACTGCTCCAAGCGGTGCAGACGCAGTACTTTGGGGCAATCCGGTTTGAAAATTTTCAGTTCAAGCGCATCGTCAAAGAGTGTACCGAGTGGCGGCCGTGGGAGCGACTGAGCACGCTCGTCGAGTACGAGAACCTCGGCGAAGACGACGAGTATTTCCCCATTGGAGACGACAATACGTACACGGCCAACGAGATTCGGCCTCCTGCGGACCGACACGATATTACAATCTTCAGCATGCCTCTGGGTGAAGGCGAAACTTTTATTGCTCTAGACTTTTCAAAGTCCTTGGTCTCGGAGGAAACGGCGCAGAGAATGCTTGACCGAATGATTGAACACGCCACCGCGTTCTACGAGGATATCAATGCCAAGGTTCTGCCGGCGAATGCAGATGAGCTAGGCCTTCCGACGATTCCCATGAAGTGGCCCTCTGGACAACTTGAGGAATACGAAATTGCACACTACGACCAAATTGCAGACTTGGAGCAGCAGAACACCGACGACATGCGACGACTGGTGCAAAATGCGTGGGTCACGGAGCTTGGCTGCGCGGAGTCGGTTGTTGACAAGCTGTGGACAGAGAATGTCGCATTCTATGATATTTGGGGTAACTTGATGGCATCGTACGCTTTGATGAAGAAGTTTCAGGGTCATGGGCTCATTGTAACTATGGAGGAGTTGCTGCGACATGCAAATATGAAGTCTCAAGTCGCTCTTTTGCTGTGTCAGAAGCAGCTTCGGGTGTAGATTTTTTAGATGGATATCACAACGTTTGAATATCTCAGTTTTCTACATAGTTGTCCTTACACATCACGGCATTGAGCAGATTTGCATACTGTACCCCGTACCAGATGACTGTTGTTGTTGAATAGCACAGTGTGCAGGTCGTCAAACACGCCAACCTCGATGTATGAACAAATCTTGCGTACCACTTGTGCATGAAATATTAGATGCTAGATGCCATTCAAGGCGTCATCGCTACCGTGAGTCAGCATTTGCCATTGACCAACCTAGTGAGGCCTTGTGTAGTCACCACTGCCTGGATGAGTATCCGGAAATGGAGGTGGAATGACCGAGGACAGCGAGAACGGTGTCAGCGAATGCAATCGCTACAATGCTGAGTACAATTCCGTCACTGCTGTAGAGAATCCTCGTCGCTCTACCCGGTCAATTGTCGAATGACGAGTCCCAACCGATCCACGGACCGTTCCTCGCGCAAGCTGACCAAACATTATTGGCAACGGTATGCCTCGGCTTACTCTTTGCACAGTCGACATCACATGGTAGTGAAACATGTCTGCGTATTCATAACTACCTTTCCAAGGAAGCTGTAGCCGCTCCGTCCCTCTGCCCAACACACCACCGCGAGACCAATCAGGAGGTCCCCCTTTCCAGTCCATCCCATTGACACTCTGGTTCTCTTGTTCTTTCTTCTTCTTTCACACAACACAGCAACGGAACACGCAAAGATGGACAAGAAGCCGCTCAACGTTGCCATTATCGGCATCGGCCACCGCGGGTACAAGACGCACTTTTCCACGCTCATCAGCCACCCGCGGTCGTGGACCGTCGTGGCCGTCTGCGACGCCGACTCGGCGGCGCGGCAGCGCTTCGCCAGCAAGCACCCGGACATCAGCGCCTACAGCGACCTCAGCCAGCTGCTGCAGGAGCACAAGCACCACCTGCACTTTGCCGTGGTGTGCGTGCCGCACCGGTTCCACCTGCCGTGCTGCGCCGCGCTCGCGGCCGCCGGCGTCGCCGTCCTCAAGGAGAAGCCCGTCGCCGAGTCGCGCGCCGAGTACGAGACCCTGCGCGCCCTGCCCGTCAAGATTGGCGTCACCTTCCAGAAGCGCTTCGAGCCCCGGTACCTGGCCGTAGCGGACCTGCTGCACCACGTCGGCCAGGTGGCCTCGGTCACCGGCACCCTGGCGGCGAGCATCGCGGAGCTGGACGCGACGTGGCGCGCGGGTAGCGGTGTCGGCGTTACGGTAGCTTGAAAAATTGACATGATGCCGTGTATCGTCTGTTGTTGCTAACTTGTGATGCAGGAAGATCTTGGCTGCCACATGCTGGACATGATGGTGTCGCTGTTTGGTCGGCCGACATCCGTCGTGGCGCGCAGCGCGACCGGCGTCCGCGCCGAGCAGTCGTACGGCGGCGACGACGTGGCCAACGTCATCATGAACTTTGGCGAGGGGGCCGCCGCCACCGGGCAGACCATCATCGGCCACGTGCACCTGTCCCGCGTCGCCCACCGCGACCAGGAGTCGCTCGTCATCACCGGCACCAACGGCACCTTTACGCTCGAGGGCAACGACGTGACGCTCAAGGACGGGCTCGGCCACGAAATCTTCCGCCTCGCCGACGCCTCCACCAAGACGGCCCGCGTCAAGGCGATGCTGCAAAAGTTCTCGGCGTGGGTCGCCGGCGGCGCGCCCGACTTTGCCGCCTCGCTCGACCGCCTCGCCGACACAGTCAGCGTCATGGAGGCCATCCGCCACTCGTACAGCAACCCAAGCGACGATGCGGACCAGAGCGTCGTCCTGGCCCGTCAACCGCCGCTATCCGAAACGGCGCCGGCGGCTGCCTCGCTCGACGGCGCGCACCACGTGTGGCCGCTGCTGTCGGCCGAGTCGGAGACGGCCGTCGTGGACCAGATGCACCGGACGCTCTCCATCTACGACCGGTCAGACATTTACGAGACGTTTGAGGACCGCTGGCGCACGATGCACGGCCTCAAGCACGCGCTCGTCTGCAGCTCGGGCACGATTGCGATCCTGCACATGTTTGACGCGCTCGGGCTGCGGCCCGGCGACGAGATCCTGTGTCCCGTCTACACCTTTTTCGCCACGGCCTCGCCGCTGCTGCAGTACGGCGCCGTGCCCGTCTTCTGCGACGCGCTCGCCGACGGCAACCTCGATCCGGCCGAGATCCTCGCCCGCACGACGCCCCGGACGCGGGCCGTCATTGTCACGCACATGTGGGGCCTGCCGTGCCGGATGAGCGAGATTGTCGCAAATGCGCGCCAGGTCGGCATCAAGGTGCTCGAGGACTGCTCGCACGCGCACGGCGCCGTCGTCGACGGCAAGATGGTCGGCGCCTGGGGCGACATGGCCGCCTGGTCGATGCAGGCCAAGAAGAACATCATGGGCGGCCAGGCCGGCGTCATGGCGACCAACTCGACGGATTACTACTCGCGCGCGATCCTCCATGGTCACTTTAACAAGAGAGCGAAGCAGGAGGTGCCTACCGACCACCCGCTTCGAAAGTTCTGGTGTAAGTCCTTTGTCTTCCCTAGCCTGAAATGCCATCAACCCGGTGTACCGGATTCTGACCTTTTTTGTTTACCACGACAGTGACTGGCATCGGTCTGAACCTGCGGGCGCACCCCCTCGCCATCGCCCTCGCCAACCAGCAGCTGGACCTGTTTGAGCGGCACGACGCGACGCGGCAGGCGCACGCGGGGTACATGGCGCGGGAGCTGAGCGCGATCCCCTTTCTCACGATGCCGGCGGTCGGCAGGGACGCGGACAAGCACGCGTGGTACGCGTTTGTGATGCAGTTTGACGCGTCCAAGGCGCCGCGGGGCCTGACGCGCGACGTCTTTGTGCGGCGGCTGACGGAGCAGCACGGCCTGACCGAGGTGGACATTCCCAAGTCGACGGGCCTGCTGCACGACCTGCCGCTCTTTACGCACCCGCACGAGGCCATCCCGCGCTTCGGCGACGCGCCCTGGTACGAGCCCCAGCCGACGAGCGAGTTTCCCCGCGCGAGGCGCTTCTACGACCAGGCCATCAAGCTGCCCGTGTGGTCGACCGAGGCCGATGCGCCTATTGTGGCCAAGTATGTAAAGGCGTTTCTGGAGGCCGCGAGAGCAGCGGTACCGGATGCCGACGGGTTTGCGGACCGCGGGGGCCGGCGAGGCCTGGGTCCCCAGCCTCGCTTGTAGGAAGAATCCTGGCGCGTTGCAAGACCGGTGCGAGTACGAATTACGGAGAGAGTGGGAATCAAGTTTTGCGACACCAATTTCCATCATTTAGCTAGACACTTGATGGCACGAAAATGAAAAATAGTCTCTTTGCTATATCAAATGCGACCTGTTCGGCGGCCGATGCTGCTGGCACTCAATACTTGGCTGAATGGTACATACTATTGCTGCATGACGAGATTCCAGCCCGCACACACTCGGTCAAAATGGCAACATCCGGTCCAAGTTGCGACGAGTAAAATTGTCTCATGCAAGCCAAACTACCTAGTCTTCTTGGTGTTAGCCTTGGCTTGACTAAACACGGCAGCATGACGTTTCCCCTTTCCGGGCCGATCGCGGGCCTCGATTCCAACCTGCCATTTGCCGGCCAGATCCATTCATTACGTCTTTCCAGCCCCCCCAAAAGCTGACTATTGAACATGGTTTGCTGGGGGGCGGACGACTTTGCCCTACCTTGCATCAAGCCACCATGCACAGCGGCTTGTCTGTCTCAGCCAGAGGCCAGCTGAACTGCGGCAGATCGGCGATAACTGGCCGTTTCCGGGCACTATTTTCCGAGACCTCGTTGCCTCATCCGTTGAAGCTGCAGCCAAGCGCTGACTACACAGATCAACAAATGGGGATGCCAAGTTGCAAGACGTGATCGCGCAGGCCCGGGGCAACGGAGGGTGGGTGGTGCAAGATCACTGCTCCCCTTCACAGAACCGGGTCGTCTAGCGAGGATGCAAGTACTCCGTACTCTGTACTCACCGGGAAAGGAAGCTGACAAGGCAGTTATACGTCTGCCACCATTCATTATCCGTATGATATTTTGGGTTGCCCACTCATGACTATCGCTGCAAGCCGAGCGGCGCCGGCGAGGCTTGCTTGCTTCCCGTAGTACAACGGCGTTCGGCACGCTTATCCCAAGCTCGATTTAAGTAGAATCTCCGCCACTTCCAAGTTTCCCAGCGACGAGGCCACCTCCAGCGCCGTGATCCCAGCCTTGTCCATTAAATCGGCGTTGGCGCCGCGCTCGAGCAGCATCCGCACCATGTCCCCGTCGTTGGACTCGGCCGCGTCGTGCAACACCGTCCGCCCTGTGTCACCAATATAGTTGACGTCGGTGCCGTACTTGAGTAGCAGCTCCACGCTCGACAGCTGTCGATGCGCGACCGCAATTCGGAGCGCTCGCTGCTTCGCTGCCTGCTGCCCGCCTGCCGGCGCCTTGTGCACGCTGTAGGACCCGGGCCACGACAGACACTCGTGGGCTGCCGGCAGCGCTTCTTGTCGAACGCGATCCGACGACGCCCCCCATGATTCCGGCATCGATGCGTCGAGTGTGATATTGGTCTTGAAGTAGCTGGACAATGGGGACTGCGAAGGAGAGTGCGGCCGCGCATCCAGGGCAGGGACAATGTCAGACGCCGCATCCATGTAGCTGCCCGGGTCCATGGGACTTGTAGACTCGTCGCTCGACGACCCCGCGAGCGATAGTGTAGGAAGCCGTAGCTTGTCCGACGAGCTTGTTGATGACTGTCCGAGGGATGACGAGTTCATTGTGTGGCGGAATGGGCCGGAGCCTAGGATGGTGCTCATGCTTTTTTCATGGAACGATGCACATCCATCGTGGCAGATGGAGGCGCGTGGTGCTGATGGCATCAGAGCGGGCGAGTTCCCAGAAGCCATTTCCTCGCCCGCATTCCACGAGAGGTGATGTGATGGCCGATCGAGCACCGCGTCTCGGGTGGAACGGACCCCGTCCAAGAAGTTCGATGAGACGGGGCTTTTAGCATTGTGCAATGGAAAAGCAGCTCCATTGTCGCGAGTGGTCGCTTGTTTCAACGTCTGTAGCTCGAGATTCTTGGCCTGAAGCTCCAGGTTCTTAGCCTGGAGCTCTTCGATTTGCAGCTTCAGTGCGGTTCCTGCGGTACGTATGGCCCCCCACCATAATTGTAAGCCGGTGAAGCTTCCTCAAACACAAACAGGCAGGCTCAATGGATGTACTCACGTCTCCTTCTCTGCGCGTCTCTGTTTTGCTGTCGGCGGCGATCCGAGCCACCACTGGAATCAAGAGGCATCCTACTGCGCTCGCACCATTTCTAGGTTGAACAAAAAGGGCCTGGGAAGATGCCAATGTCAAGATGCATCCAGCAGCTTAACCTGAACGAACGGGCTAGCGCCATGCCGGGGAGCTGAAGTGGCTGCTTCGGAGTCAAGAAGCCACCCCGCCGAGCCCCCCCCCAGATTGGCTCTGGCAAATCGTTAGTGTACCGGATGTCATTTGCCGCCCGCAGCGGGTTGTGGAGTCTTAACAGCTGTACAAAAGTACATGGTCTTCGCTGTAAGAAACCCTTCAGGCTGCATCGTGAGCAGGGCGACAACTGTGTGGGGAAGCAGAGGTCGGCGGCGCCTGCCGTTGGAAACACGTTTCTCTGGCTGAAGAGCCTGTCTCGGGAGCACCCAATACAGTGTACGAATTGCGAAACGGTCTTGTCAGTATACTTTGACGCCGCTGCACCATCTCCCGAGACAGCTTGTGCTGATCAGGCGTAAACTCTCGCGGTGGGGTTGCCCGACTTCGTACCGGTACATAATAATAGAAGCCAAGTCTAGATCAGCCACCTCGAGCGAATGGAATGTAGCCAATGACGACGCATCTCTGGGGCATGGGGGCGGAGAGACGTTGTTGTCTCTGTTGTGCCAAGATCAAGCGGAAAGGAGCCCCGGTCGGAAACTTGGATGTTGGATAGACTGGTCATCTTTTACCCGGTTAGTTCGTGCGCCGCAGTTTTATTTATTTATTTAAAAAAAAAAGTTGAGATGATTAACGGACAAAGTGCGGACCAGGAGTCCAGCGCCAGCACTTCCTTCTACATCTCAGCGAGAAAGTGGCTTAGCCAATAATTATTAAGCATAACAAAATACACCAAAAATGAAGCAAGTTTCATCAACAGTCAATCTCGGTGTTGAAATTAATTATAAACAACAGTCAGCAATAACTAGATGGAATCGTCGTCGAAACAACATTTCATCATATCAAACGCGCCTATTTTGAGGCGCGCACGTTATCGGCAGGCGATGAATGTCTCTCGTTGCACCTAAACTCGGCCACTTCGGCACATCTATTCTCCAATCTACATCATCATCATGCCATGCATGTCTATAACTAGTATGAAAAAAATCTCATATCGCGTATCTATATCTCATCCAGCTGCAGCAAGTGTCGTGCATGACAGATGCACGCTCGCAGGGATCTCCTATCATGAGTTGCACCATCGCAGGGATCTCCTATCAAGAGTGAGATCCCTTATCTCTCTCGACAATCGCAGGGCATTCGCCGCAGCCGCGGCCGCATCCGCCGTGCCAGCTGTGGCGCTAATGCTTATCGCCGCTCGCCTACACGGTGCTGCCGGCCGCCGCCCCGCCCGTCGTCGGCGAGGGGCGCGGCGGACACGGATTGTCATACACGTACTGCTCCGGCGCGCCGCCTTCACACGTCTTGCCGAGCGCGGCGTCGTACGCGCCCGCGGGGTACATCCAGCAGCTGCCCGGCGAGTTGGCCAGGTACGCGGGGTCGCTCGGGTTGAAGACGGCGTAGGTGCAGGCCTCCTCGGCGCGGAGGGCGCACTGCGCGATGCAGTCCGACACGCCACCGCTGGCCGTGCAGCTGCTGCGGCAGTCGTCGGGCGGCGTGGGGTAGCCGCAGACGGCGGCGCGTGCCGACGGCGTCGCCACGGCCGCGGAGCACTCGCTCGGCACGCGGTCGGCCGGCCCTGGCGCGACACCGGTGCACGTCGGCTTGTCAAACACGGACAGGTACGCAAAGGAGCAGCTCGAGCCGGGCTGGCCCTTGCTCGCGTCAAATACGAGCCCGGGGTACGTCCAGCAGGTGCCGCCACCCCAGGGGCTGCCGCTCGCGGCGAAGATGACAAAGTTGCACGGGCCGTGCTCCTGGCAGTACCGCCAGCAGGATTCCTTGTTCTCGATGGCCGCGGAGTAGGGTCCGGGGGAGGGGTAGTCGCAGAGCGTGGTGATGAGGGACGCCGTGCACGACGGGGCCGAGCCGGTGCTGGTGGCGTCGGCGGCGACGGCGGCGGCTGGTGTCTCGGAGTTGGCTGGCATGGCGGCGGCGGCGCCGACGAGCCCGGCAACGGTCCAAAATGTAGAGGTTTTCATGATGATGAGTATCCGAGCTTGGTCTGCCAGGAATAGTGAGCCGAGGGGAAAAGAAAGAATTTTCAAGCGTAATTTATAGGGGATTGGGCGACACTAGGCAGCCTTGTCTCTCGCGAGGCTAGCCGGGCACGGAACAACGGCTACACCGACCAGCCGGCGCATGCCAGATACGGAACCTACAAGTGGGTTAAGAGTCACAACTGCATTATGACATGGGGATGCCTGTCATTTTGTCTGTAGTTAATGTGAGTCATGAGCTCGTGATGCTCGAGGGCCCAACGTGGCGGTTTTCATAGAGCGACTTTAGCGGCGGACGGAAAAAACCAAGGCGTCTCATTTTGATCAACGTGAGTCAAGCGTCATCATAATGTGTGCAATTTTCTATCTTGTCGCGTCTTGATTAGGCGCCGCCTTCACTCGCAGTAGATTCTCGGCATTCTTGTATGCAAACAGGTCTAGGTCCTCACCCGTGATCAAGCCGCTCTTCTCAATCTTGTTCAGAAACTCGAAACCCTTTTCATTTGCCGAGAACGGATAGTCGACGCTGTATAGTACATGGTCGATGGGCATCGTCTCCAGCAAGCACTTGAGCGGTGTCAGAGTAAACATGCCGCTCGTCGTCACCCAGATGTTCTCGCGCCAGACCTGGCGAAGCCCGCGCTCTTTAGCGCCCCAGCGCTCCGATATGGCGATGCAGCGATCGAGCTGAAAGGGCAGCATCTCGCCCATGTGGCCAATGACAATCTTGAGCTTTGGAAAGCGGTCAAATAGACCTGCCGCAAACAGGCGCAGAATGTGGTGGCCCGTCTCTGCGTGCCAGCCCCAGCCAAAGGCGCTGAGGGCGAGCGCCACGCTGTCCGGGTAGTTGCCCTGGTAGTGGTCGGCCATGGCGTCTGAGGCAAATGTCGGGTGGATGTAGAGCGGGACGTCGAGGCGCTCGGCGCGCGCAAAGACGGGCCAGTAGGCCTCGGCATCGTAAAACACGCCGTCGAGGTGATTCTCGAGCAGCGCACCGACGAAGCCGAGCGTGGCGACGCAGCGCTCAAGCTCATCGGCCGCGGCGTCGGGCTCACGCATCGGCAGCATGGCGAAGCCGGCGAGGCGCGTGGGGTGGCGGCGGACGGCGGCGGCCAGCTCGTCGTTTACAGTGGTGCACACGGCTGCGCCGACATTGCCGGGCCCGTGTGAGACGACTTGCAGCGAGACGTGGCCCTTGTCCAGGTCGGCCACGCGCGTCTCGCCCAACTCCGTCAGCTTGTCGAGGATATGCGGGGGGAAGTGGGCGTAGTGCGCTTTGGCGTCAGCGCTAGAGGCGATGACGGCTGGGGAGGCAAAGTGCTCCTCGAGGGCGATGAGAGGTCGCATACTGATGGGATGAGGTGGCAGACTTGGGCTCGTCGTCGATGGAGTTGACGGAGGCGAGTTGATGCGCTATATATGTTGAAGCCGCCGTTTGAGGTTCATCTCCACAGTAGCTGGACGAGGCGGCGAGGGAGCAAGACGACCGAATTAGTTATCTCAGGCGGATCCATCTAAAAGAAGGCTTCTTCGGACATGTCGGCGTTAGTGATTCTTTCTATTCGTCCTTTTTGACTTGACAACTCTGAAGAGTGGAATGGCGCGCCACAAGGTAAGCGTACTAACGGCCGGCAAGGGAAACGACGATCCGATAAGTGACACAGCGGGCCGCAATATGGGGAAGGACCAGACAGGTGGTGCCGCGGCATTGCGAGGATTGAAGATGGAAAATCCGCCCTCTGCAAGTGCAACTGGCACGTAGAAAAGTCATGTATAAATCAAGATGAGGCTTGAAGGGATCGATGGATCGATGGCGTCGTACGTAGTTGGAGCCCCGCCGCAATACAGCGGTCGCAGCGCCAGGCGGGAAGGGCCGCACGGTGGGAAATCTAACAGAAGGGTAAAGTATAAACACGAGTCAATGCTATCTTGGCTTTTCTGATGTTTGGGCTTGGAACATGTTTTGGAACATGTGCTGGATGCGCTCGTCTGGTTGGTAGAGGGTTAGGTAGGCTGCCTCCGGGTTTTCGTAAAGAATGCATTGCGTGCCTACCTAGTGCATAAGCTCTCCAGGGTAGCGCTAGGCCCGGGGTTCGCACATAGGCGTTAACGGCGTTTGCACAGCTCCTTATGAGATGAATAGAGTCTGTTTTACACCTCTGGAGCGTTGTGGCAAGTTACTGTGTCTTATTTCACGAGCTTGTACCGAGAAGATCGAGTAGAGAGTAGATGAAGCACTTCGTTGCGGTACGCGGTCAAGGTGAATTTGACCGTCCCGGGAATCTATTTGGTCGGCTGTGCATGTGAGAAACCATTCATTCCCGTCGGAGGATTGAAAAACAAATACGTACTGACAGCTAATACGAACATTTCAAATTGAAGTCCACTTGACAAAGGGCGTTTTAGCGGGCGCAGCGGGCTCAGCGGGCCGAAAAAAACTAAAACCGCACTACGAGTCAACACTAAAAGTCTACGACGGGGTAATAATAAGGGAAAATATATCCGTCACCCTTTGGTGCAATACTAGATAACAAATTATTGATTCTTTCTGAAAAAGGATGGCAAGTCCTCGAGTAACCCAAGCCTACATTCTCCTTCCTCTCGCATTGCCGTCGCAACGGACCAACAAGCCCCTTGTCTTACCCCCTCTAAGTGGCGCCACGCCGCCCTAAAGTGGCGTATCTGGTAGGGCGTTTGTGGTTTGTGGCCGTCCACAGTCTGTTCGTCTCTAGCCTGGAAGAAGCAACCTTGAGCTTCTACAATGGGAAATGTCCGCGCGAATCAGCAAGTCAACTGATAACTACGGCCATGCAGCCTTATCGAATCAACAAGGCACCTGACTCACCACCCCTGTTATCCGTCTCGGAACGGGCTGACGTAGCAATGCGTCGTCACCAGCTTACATGCTGTCGCACCTCTACAAAGAAAAATCAAACGCAGGAATCGTGGCCTCCTTCCCAGTCATGATTGTCCAAGTATACTAGTTGAGGTGGTGCAACATGCCCCCAAGAGCCTCCTCCGTCCTGGTGCTGGCGCTACTAACGGCCTCGTTTTTATACTTTGCGACGCACGTTCAATGGCACGCCGTTCCCGCCCGGCAACTCCCTAGCTGGCGGCTTGGCAGCTTGGCGACCAGCAGCAGCAGCAGCAGCAACCTCAGCGTCAACCTGGTGCTGGCGACGCTCAAGGCCGACGACACATCATGGACGTCCCAGCTCGCCATCCCCAACCTGCGCGTCATCCGCTACGTCAGCGACGACCCGCGCGCGCAGTACCGCCCACCCGTGCCGCGCAAAGGCCGCGAGGCGCTCATCTACCACACCTACTGGCACGACTTCTACGACGACCTGCCCGACCTCTCCATCATGGTGCACGCCGAGGCGCGGCCCTGGCACTTGGAGGGCGCGCTGCAGCAGTCCATGGTGTTTGCGCTGTCGCGTCTCGACCTCGACCGCGCCCGCGCCCGCGGCTACGCCAACCTGCGCGTCAGCTGGGAGAATGCGTGCCCCGCCTGGCTCGACACCACCAAGACACCCGACGAGGCCGACAAGCAGGAGGAGCCGTACATGCGCGAGGCCTTTGCCGCAAACTTTGGCCCGCCGCTCGAGGTGCCGCGCATCCTGGCCGGCCCGTGCTGCTCGCAGTTTGTCGTGACGCGCGAGGCTGTGCGGCAGCATCCGCGCGCGCAGTATAAGCGTAGTCGTGATTGGCTGGTCGAGACGGAGCTGTCCGACTATATTGCCGGCCGCACGTGGGAGCACATGTTTCCCTGGCTGTTTCGCGGCGCCGCCACAGACTGTCCGGGCGAGGCCCAGACGTACTGCGCCATGTATGGCGTCTGCTTCGAGAAGCCTGACGAGCCGGCCCGCTATAATAAGCTCTGGCAGGAGAAGAGGGACTTGATGGAGGCGACCGAGGTGCTGCGGGAGTTGCTGAATCCCCAGGAGGGCGTCAAGGCGAGGCAGCGCATGGCCGAGATTGATGTCATTTTGAAAGAGAACATTACGGTGGCGTTGACGAGGGGCCAGGACGAATCGACGAGGGCTGCAGCATTTGCTACTCTGTTTGATACTTGAGTTGTGCTGCTGAGATGTGCTGCTGAGATGAGTGGAACGAACGATGCCACACTGGCCGACCTGGCAATATACCCATTTTGTGCTGGGCGGCAGTGCGGCAATTATCGGGATGAACGAGTATCGAGACGAGTAAAGGTAGATGTCCAATCCAGTCGTGTATTTTTTTGCATGTTACATGTTGGCGTTGTATATTGTATGCCGTGGAATCCAACCCCCAAATGCACATGAGAACTACTTTGCCCGGCTTTCTTCGCTGTCGAGATCCTGTATACCGTTACCAGCGGCCTTTGGAACTCAAGACTGAATGCGTCTTTAGTTATGCTGCAATCTGGAAGAGCTGATAGTAGCAATCTTCCCAACCGCACTTCCCCGACTCCCAAAACACCGGTAGCAGTTTCCGCAGCATGACGGGCCCCGAGGACGCCGTCTCCAGCAACTCCATCTCCTTGAGCCAGGCCAGCACGCGGTCCTGCTCCTCCAAGGCACCGTCGTACAGAGCGACGCCCAGAACCGCCAAGGGCCAGCACATGCCAGCCAAGCCCATTCTCACGGCGCTCGCTCTGGCAACGCCCGCTACGAGCACGTCGCGGTGGTGCAGCCGCGAGTCCCGGCCGGTGGCGGCCTCGGCGCGACGAAACGGCCGCGCAAGATTCGCCGGCAGCGCCAGCAGCGCGTACAACATCACGGTGGCCCTGAATACGCGAGCAAACGTGTAGATCTTGGGGTCGTCCGGGAGCTCGTAGGACTCCGTCCAGCGTTCCGGCACAAAGTCGTGGACCGTGTCGGCAATCAGCTGCGCGGCGGACAGCAGCTCAGGCGATGATGCGCCGAGCGTGGCCGCCAAAACGCGGAGGCGGGTGATCTGCACAATGGCCATAAAAAGTATGCTCGGACACGGTAAGATGCGAAAGTACATGTTGCTGTAGATTCGAAGAATGTCGGCCTCTTTGAAGTTGTCGAACTCGCTGAGTTGGTCTTCCACGGGACCAGCCGTGTTGCAGATGAGTCCGTGTCTAGTGTCAAGTCAGTTCCTGCAGGATGACAACAAAGAGCTCTTGCCTACATGAAGACGAATTGTAGGGCTAGTATGGGGGAAGGATTGCTGGCAGATTTAATGACGGTGTCGACACCTCCGTATGCCTCGACGAGGGCGAGGAATCCCTTGCAGTGCGCCTGCCAAAATGTCGAGTCTATCATGTCCACCTACGAATGCTTAGCCGCCATCGTCTTCCACGAGGATGCAACCACTTACCTCGATGCTGAGAAGATCGACGATTCTGTAGAGATTGTAGCGTGGTGGGAAGCCGGCCGCGATGGATTGGTTTAGGTAATGGATAGCCTTGGCCATGTAGTCGAAGAACATACGCCAGAGATGATTAATCGCCGGCCAATTGCCCGGCTCGCTTCTGAGGTTATTGGCCCGGCAGATGTCGGCAATATGCGTGTGGATGACCATCATCACAAACGACGGAATCGATTCCTGTCGTGAAATGTGCATGTCTGGCCGGTACTGCTTCATGTGCTCTTCCGGGGTCACCGCCTTGGGCGGTCCGCCTGACTTGGGCTGTAGAGTGACTGTTAAATCTACGCGCGCCGAGTCCAAGTTAGTGGTTGTTTTCTAGGCTTCCGGTCCGGGTCAATGGCACGAACAATACCGCAGGGCCTCGGCAAAGGCCCACTCTGGAGGCTGGAGGGCGGTGAGCGAGAGTCTCCCCTGCGGCCGGTGCTGCGGCTGCAACGGGTAGTCGCATCGCAGTCCTCGGATGCGGCATCTCTTGCAGGTCGGCTGGCCCTCGTCGCACTTGAGGCGGCGGGTGCTGTGGCGGGGGTCAGCAGATGACGGCACTCAAGAAGCGTCATCGAACGTGAGGGGCGCTAAAAGCGCAACATACCGACATGTATAGCAGCCCGTCCGGACACGAGGTGTCCAGCGCTTCTGTCGTGGCGATGCAGGATCGTCGGTGCAAGACGGCGCGGACATGGTTTAGCTGGTCGGGGACAACAGGAGAGCTGTAATCGGGGCCGAGCAGCGCGAGTGAAGACGCTGATTCAGGCAGAGCCTAGGGAGAAAGGGTTACGTATCCTCAGTAGATGAGTTCCCGCCATTCGATGGCCTTACCAAATATACTAAAAAGTGATGATGGAGCGAGGTTACGTGGGGGCATCTGGACGTGTGCTGCGTGACTAAGGAGGAGGTTGTTTAGTAACGTTGGGAGTAACATTAGTAGCCTATATTAGCGGCAGCCCCAAAACGCCACCATCAACGAGCCTCGAATTGGTTCCGACTATTGTCAATTGCTGTCTGCTTCAGCCTAGTCAATAAGATTGACTACGTATGTGGCGAGTCGCTCATAGATTGGAATGCTAACGAATCCGAAGAAGATTCTCCTCTGAAACTCTGGGAATTAGCGGGAAGACGGTGGCCAAAGATCTGAACCTGCCCGGTGGGAAGGCGCTTGACAAGCTAGACAAGCGGCTCAGATCTACCCGCATGGGGATAGATTCGACGACTAGCTTATATTTCCAGGCACAAGATACATGACTCCTACTTGATGGTGCCCGCGGTGCGGGAGTGATGCGACTGCGAGTCTCCTACCCAGGTATCTGTGACGTATGATAGATTGGGGCTACAATTCAACTTCCGAATATTTTCAATGCGGGAACTAATCATCCACTCTAGTCAATTCTCATTCTGCACACTGGGTTTGCCGACTTACATGCAGCACGCAAATAAGGCTGGCTGATGAGCAGACAAGGCTGCGCCTCTTCGCACACTTGCCTTGACGACCACGAAGTGTAAGTTCTACCCTTTCCTACCTACACTTGGCCTATTTTGTCTGCTTCACAAAGGTATCCTCATACTGATGTCACCGTTAGGGAAAACGGTAGCGCTGCCCGGTGAAAGTCTGCTTGCTCTGTGGCAGACGCTGGCAACTTCGTCCTCGAAGCTGAGGGGAATGTCGATATCGCCATTAATACGAGGCACCAGTCAACATCAGAGCCGCGACGGAAGTCTTAATTTGCAAGTTGAAGATTGGAAAACTTGGACAAAAAATTGTGGAAGAACAGCCCTTTGAATACTTCTGGAATTATGACAGACCCGGTACCTGAGGGTATGGACTCATCAATGTTCTGGACGGTTGATACTGTCTCCATTACGTTCGGCATCCACTCACATCAGGCGGTCTCGGACAATTTGTGCGATGTAGCCATTCACGCTTCTCGTCTGAGCCGGGTGCCCGCTGCATGTGAGACGAGCCAATGCGAAGTACTTGGCGCGCTGCCGCCCGCGCCCGTCGATGCTCACATTGTCTTAGGAGAAATAATTTCCTTTCTCTTATGGAACTAATCGCAAAGTTCGAGCGAGTAACGGTTCCATAAGAGCAATTAATCCTGCAAGAAAAGGTAAAGATCGACGGCGGGACGTACTTGCTCCTGCCATAAATGCAGCTCTGCTGACGGCTGGGGTCAGATTGTACCTGTCAATCATTCATGATGATTCATTTGCGGCATGCGGGCAAATAGGCATAACATCCGGTCCGAATCATTCTCTTCCGTCTTTTATCAGGCAGCTTTACTTATCCTGCGTTAATTTTGGTGCCGTGAGGTACTACTGTATCGCTTCCTAGCCTCGCGATGGCTGTCCTGCTTTCTAGAGTCGCTTTCACTCTCTCTGACACGGCTGCTGTGCTCCTGACCGATATTCCAGAATCCTACCATGAATTTATCTGAAGTCTCACGATTAAAGTGCACAAGCTTTGATTCGTGCACTTGTGGGATTTGATGCTTGCTCCGTCGTGGCGACCATCTTGCCCATTTCTTTGGCAAACCGCCGTTGCTCTATCGCGACTCGGCCAGTACCTGAGTTTGCGGCTAGAGGATTGTTCTCGGCGCTCACGAATAGTCTCAGTATCAATAAGTATTCGGACAAATATTGTTCAAAGGATCGCCAAGTTGTAGTAGAGCCCAAGGCTTAAGCCTTAGCCAGCTCCTTCATTTCTTTGCGGATCTTGTTTTCTATCCTCCAGTAGCCAAGTGATGAGAAGGGAAAAAATGTCGGGAATGAGTAAGACGAGGCAAAAAAAAGAGAGAATAACAACAGACCGATGAAAACCCCCAAAAAGAAACTCCGGTACAGGGAATCGAACCCTGGGCTGCTCGGTTCTTGGTTGAGAGCGAGCGATGTTAGCCACTACACCATACCGGATAGTAACTTGTATGACTCTACGGCTGCTATTGTGATATATATGGGTCAAGCATTGACAGCTCTTGAATTTTCCAATGCGAGTAGCCGCACCCTCAAGCCAAACGCATTTTTAAAAAGAGGACTTAGTTGCAGTATTTACTTAACATTTGGTTTCAAGCATTCATATAGCACAGCCAATCTTAGCCCTATAATATTGTAAAAGCACAAAATCCAACACGATCACCATCCCTACCTTTCCGCCTGCACAACTCGCCACGCCGCTACTTCAGCAGCGAGCTGGAGTCCGTGGTTCCGCACGCATTGGTCGGTGCATCCGTGTCCCAGTGCAAGCAAACGTCTGGTTCTTGCGACGTCCACGGCTGCAGTTCCGGGCCCGCGCAGTCCGTAAACAAGTCGTCCCAGGGATCCGGCGGGGCCAGGAGATCCTCAACCCTGAGGCCTCTTCTTTGTTCGCGGAGCTGGGCCTTCCATCGGTCCTCTTCCCACATCTCCCGAAGCCGCTGTCGGTTGAAAAACCGAAAGGCGGTGCTTCCCATGGACGTGTCGCTGCATGGGTGCAACGATGGCTGGCGGACGTGGGCAGCGCTGGGCTTCTTGAAAGACGGTTCTTCCGGCTGCTTGAAGAACATCTCCTCTTCGCCGTAGGGCACAATGATGATGCCGTACTGCATATCGGGAAGAGGCGGCCCGGCCAAGGATATCGTGTAGGCCGAGGCGGCCATGTACTGCGCGAGTATTTTCGCGTCGTGGACGTGCTGGTGCTGCTCCGGGAGGCAGCTCGGCACTACGGGCACCACAGTTTCTTTGGACCCGTATTCTTTTGACGGTGCATTGCTCATGATGGCCCAGCTCGGTGCGCCAGAGACTGCGTCTACGTCCATTGTCCCGTACGCGGGATGGCCAAGTCCCAAGCGCCTGTCCTTTTCCTGGGCTCTCTGCACGGCTTGATGTAATTGTCCATCATGGTTGAGCCGGCCGCGTACCCATTCTCGATGCTTCCCCCATGCCTGATGTCTATTGCTGGCCGGCTCCGACTCACAATCGGATGACTTTTGACGTCTGTTTATCGGCCTGGGCCAGCTCCAGCGTGTCGTCGAATCAGGTATCTTGCCCAGAGGGGCGTAATCGGAGCCATCGTACTGAAAATCCGTAGTGTCATCCTTGCATCATGTCAGCTGTGCCATGATTACGATAGAACTTTTGAACTTACAGAAATGTGAGATGGGTGGAGGTTGCACTCTCGATGACCTGGTTCAAGGGGCTCGCAGAAGGCGCCTGCAACTGCGTCATGCCCCTCTTTGACGTCGTCTACGATGCGAGCAGCGTCACTATCTCGCATACCAGACTCGTGTGGGGTGATAATATGATCAGTTGGCCATCCAGCTTCCCGCATCTCCAGGCAGAGCGAATGGAGGGCCTCTTGCGTCAAGCGCGGGGACGCACCGTGAATTGCGACGTACGTTTCTTGATTCATAATTTGACGTTGGTGTTAGAATAAATAGCATAAAATATACAGTATCAATAAGGTGATAGGAACGTATTCATCAGTTTGTGGTTTGAAGGAGGAAATGTTCGTCTCAAGCAAGTGAGGAATACGAGCAGCTTTTATGCACACAGAAAAGCTGCAGAAAGTGTGTGGGCAAGCTCAACAATTCAATTATTGGATTACACAAGAAGCAAGCGAGATTAAACAGGGTATCGCAAGAGTTGGTGATGTAAGAAGCGTCCCGCCGTATCGCAAGTGTCGCACCCGCACGGGCATCATGCGTATTACGTACCGTTCAGAATGACGGCCACAGCAGCCCATCGAAGGAGTCTGGCATCTTAGCCTACTGCATAGAAAATACTTCCTTGGCGCCAAACGTTATATGGCGATTGTCCTGGACAAAAAGAGCGCAGAGCCTTCAGGGCTGGCTGGTAGATCATGTACGGCGTCCCGTCTGCGTCGAGGGAAGGCCTCAAGTACACCGACGCGCCAATGATCCAATCGATAGCACTACTACGAATACCCCAACAACCGACAGAAACCGGCACTTGAAGATGGATAATCCAATTTTTAGCGCCACGTCCTGGACAAAGGCAAGTGAACACCAGGTGATCTTATCGGCAAGCACAGCTCAGATCCAGACGTCAAGGCCAAGAGTGCGTCCTTGATTGCCACGGATAAATCGAGAGAGTGGACGGACGGTAGTGAAAGACGTTCTGCCGCATCGATCAGTCATGTTCACCATGGAATGCGTGTCGTGAGTTTTGGTATGGAAGCATTGGCAGAATTAAGGCGAATTTCAGACAACCGCAAGCCAAGCAAACCAGCAGACACGGTGACCTTTCATGAGGCTTGAAAAAAAGACGGAAAAATATAGGAGCTTGGGCTTCCGTATATCTGGCATGGTCCATTCACATTCAGACTGCCACAACAAAAAGAACATGTCTTCCATCCATTGTGCTCGAGTTCCCGGCTGTGTTAAAACCCGATGCGACACACAACAGGGCATGGTGGCCCGCTGCTTCCTGCACAGAGC